TCGAAGCATTTTACTTCCAATTAAACGAACGTGAACAACGCGGATCGTAATCGTCTGGATGCATTCGAAGAAACTAAAATAAAATAGAAGTGAATTCAATTTGAAATTTGATGCTTGTCTGCATCGCGATTAGGATCTTCGCGAGAATGGAAACGATCCTAGAGAGAGCTCTCAATCGAATGACGCTAGGCCTTAATAAAATCGTAAGTCGGTTGACAGGCGATGCGTACAGAACGAAATAATACGAGTGAATTCCTCCCCCGTCAGTTCGGGGTTGCTCGTATTGTTGTCGTCTTTACGTAAGAATACCGAAGGAAGGACGACACGGAGGCAGATGCCGCTTAAACTTTCCACCACGTTAAAGAACGACCAAAAAAAAGGAAAAAGAAAGAAGGAAAAATCCTGATGACATTGTGAATGCTTTTAATAATACTCCACACTACTACTAGGATGATAGTTTACAACCTCGAAAAATCGAATCAACCGATTAGACAGATATGTATAAAACGGTCGAAAGAATTGAAAATCTTCAATTATAATATTTCGAGCTTGAGCAAGCTTATTTATGAAGTTCGTTTCAACCTTTGGAAATGAAAATGAAAAAGAAAAAGATTTTTTCTTTCAACTAATATATATTTAACACATTAACACTGTTATACCTCCAACGGGATAAAACAAAGGACTTAATTTCACACGAAAGAAGTTCATTTTACCGAGGATAACCATGAATTATCTATCTTCTCTTACGCTAATTACAAAGGTAAGTCCAATTATGGTACGCGAAGAATCACCAAGAAAGAACTTGAGGAATGCAAAGAAGAATTGTGAACGAAAAACGCGCAAAAAGTGAAATATCTTAAGAGAGAAGTAAGAAAGATTGGAAAGAAAGAAGGAAGGAAGGAAGAAAGGAAGGAAGAAAGGAAGGAAGAAAGGAAGGAAGGAAGGAAGGAAAGAAGGAAGGGAGAAAGGAAGGAAGGAAGGAAGGAAGGAAAGAAGGAAGGAAAGAAGGTAAGAATGAAATGAAATGGAATGGAATCGAATGGAATGGAATGGAATGGAATGAAATGGAAGAAGGAAGAACGGGCTATGTTAGAAAGAACGAGGGATGCAACCGCGAAATCGAGCCAAGCCGTGAAAATAACGATTTCTCCTTTGTGACGGCGTTCGTCAAGCTGGAAGAGATGAGAGAAAAGAAGAAGAAGAAGAAGAAGAAGAAAAAGAAGAGAAGCCGGTTTCACCACCGAAGGTGAGGTCCTCCGTGACTCGTCGATATTTTTCCTGAGCTGCGCGTCTGGAATCGATATTTTATGTAGATCACGCGTAAAAGGGAAACACGCCCTCGTCGCTCGACCACTATTCTCGCCTCGGCGAACAAAAACATCTTCGGATCCCACGCGAGAGAAGACGAGTTTCGGTACGAACGAAGAAAACGACAACAGTGATGACTCTTTGGAGAGGGGGGAAATGGTGAATGAGGAAGAAAAAGTATACAAGAGAAACGAAACATGCTATTGATGAATTTTTATATTCGTACTCTCAGAATTCATTCAAAAAATTAAAATTTTTCTTCGTCTCTATTCATACGATAATTTTGATGATTTAAATATACATATTTGTTTACTTGGTTTATACGAGCCGAGATTAGATCAATCTTTTTTCCTTTTGAAATTAATATTCCAGCTCATTTCTTAATTATTACTCGTTTACCGATACCTACGATGAGCTATTTAAGTTTTTAAAAATATCCAACAAGTCATGAAAATTAATAAGAAATAGACAGGAAATAAATAACATTTGACGTGAAAAAGTAACACGCACGATTCAGGTGCAGCATTGTCCGATCTTATCACCTGACGTACATATGAGCAGGGTGCATTTTCGAATGACGAGTTTCTCGTGTAAAGGTCAGATCGTCGACTGCTTTTCATTGAATCTCGTGAAAAGATATAGAGAGGGAGAAAAAGTAGAAGCTAAGGTCAAAGACACCGTTCGCTTCGAATAATGCGGAAAAATAGCGCAACGATCGAATGCGCCCAGCTGCAGAGCCCTCCTACAAAACGGACCGTGTGTATTGTGTAACATTCGTGTGCATACTTACTAAGAACGAATTTTTAGGATTGAATATGCGTGAGAATGTGCGTAGGTGATGGATAGACGGTCGTCCTGTCGCTCGTACAAACGTTAAACGGATTTCAATAGTTTGAAATTGCATAGGCATTGCCATTGGATGAGCATGTCGTAAAATTTCGAACGTCGAACTATATGAAAAATTGTCTTTATACCTATACAACCTTACCATGAGATAGAATCGTATTTTCGCTTGTTAACGAATAACCAACAAAAGAAAAAAAAGAAAAAAAACGGTAGGAAAAATTTTTCAAAATTTCAAATGCGTTTTCTTCAAAGAAACAACGGTCGTTTCGTCTCTGTATTAGTACACGTGAAAGAAAGAAGACGAAGTGACGGTTGCCTTATCTTACGTTGGTACGAACGCACATCTAAATGTTACCCTCGCACCTGGTTACGCACCGTCAGTTATTTTCTATGTCAGGTCTTTCGAGAAACGCGGAACAACGCGAGCCCTTCTTAAAAAAGGGTAGAATACGAGAACGAAGAGAAATCGCCCCAAAAAACCATCTCAATCCCCTCGCACGGTCTCTATCTCTGAGCTTCCCTCTCCTTTCGCCGCGAATCAAGGAATTCGGTAAGGCTTCTCACGGCAAGAAAAGTTTAATTTTAGATAGAGGAGAATTTTTTTTTCGAAGGGAGACGACATAAATTTGGTAAAAAAAGCAAAAAGTCTCTACATAGGTGTATATTCGCACACACATACACATGCATTTAATCCTGCAAGAGAACAGATGAAATGACGGTTGGCTTATCTAAGATACTGAACTTCTAATACGATATTTGTGTGCATTTGCCATGAACACCTGGCGACGCGCGAGCATTATTTTTCTATCGATCCATCCTATCTTTTCTTTTTTTTTTTCTTTTTTTCTTTCTTGCCTCATTCGCGTTAAAGATGAAACGACCACATGTGTTTCCTCACGAAATAACTACCTTATTCTCCAACGTGTTTCTCACGAAAAAAGCGCAATTTTGATAGAAAAATGAGGGTCGTGAAAGATGCAAATTTAAGAAGGGAGGGGGAAAGAGAGGGAAAGCTGCACATATAGAAGTTACATCCAAGTACCTGCCTTCCCTGCTTTTGAAAAATAAGAAAGATATGTAAGAACGCGAGAGGACGAGTAAAACGAAGTTTTATAGAGAATCGACCAATCCTGGGAGAACGCATTGAAACTTCCTGTCGATGCTGTCCTACCTGACCTGTCGATGCTTTTTTTACGATTTCAGGGGAATCAGGTAGGAAGGGAGACACACGAAAGAGAGAGAAAGAGAGAGAAAGGGGGAGGGAGGGAGATAGGGAGAAAGAGAGAAAGAGGGGGAGAGAGAGAAAGAAAGAACGAGAAGAGGAGCAGAAATCGAGACTGCTCACCCAAAAAGTAGCGTCTCGGTGCTCAGAGTTCACAGGATTTTGAATTTTTTTTCCTCCACAACGATCGTTCCTTCCTTACCTTGCAATCCCTCCCCACCATAGAGCCCGTTTCGCCAAGCTTTTTACGAGGTTTCGCCTTACTTTCTCACTCTTTTCGCTTCTCTTTTTATCTTCTGTCGGAATCCGAAGTCGATGGGAACGTCCGAGTGCCGTTCAAATGGCTGAGCAACTTCTCTTTTTAGTTCACTAACCCTCTCCCTATTCCCTCTCTATATTTACCGTGATCATCAACTCGATCTTACTAATTTCTTCATTTGTTCTTAAATTTCTTAAGCTTTTTAAATCTCAAATTATCATATAAGTTCGTATAACATAAGAGATGAAAAAATATGATATTAAAATCTTAACACGGAGAAAGTTCACAGCCATATTCCAAGTACATACGGTTGCTACCCTATGGTAGGAAAGGATCTTTAAGCGTATCGAAGTAATTATTATTAAAACCGTTACGGTATGAAACGCGTGCCAAGCATTGACGGAAAAAGCTCGTTTGCTAGAATCGACCGATCGGTTCCGTTCTATATTGTTCGACGTTCCTACGTTGTGTTCGTATGATTTTCTAGAGCCAAACGCAACGGGGATATGAGGGAGGTGGTCATAAGATACCTATGATGATAGATGCACGAAGGGTTGCTCCATGAGCAAAAGGGAGAATAAAAAAAGAGTAGGCTCGAAAGGGTAAACCGATCCTCATTGGGCGGTATCGTTCGTCTACGAGAAGAGTCCCGACCAATCAAAGCTCCCCCGTCGAAACATCGAAGAGCACGTGGTGTTAGCGATGTTGGTGGGGATGATCCTTTCGCCCTCCGGGTCGCACTACTTTCGTTGCGTCATTCTAACATTCGTCCTGCATCGGTCCATCAACGAAGTTCCAAAGAACTTGTGCATTCGCGTTGGTGCTAATAATTTATCGAAGGATTAATAAAGGAAAAAAAAAAGAAAAAGATAAAGAAAAAAGAAGAAATACTCTTTATTTCTTTAAACACGCGTACAGTATAGATACGGAATGAAATCGCATTTCTGGAAAAAGATCCGAACGATCGTTCGTCGCGATCGTTGTCGATCAAAAACGACGATTACTCGATGTTCTCCATGAACGTCTTCAAGATAAATTCGTGCTGGATCTCGAGAATCATCTCGATGTGATCACGAGGAGGATCACGAATAAAACCTCTGAGAGAAAGGAGGTTAACATGGTCTTTCTCGAAGACCCAAAAATGATCTTTACGGACATGCGCCTTCATGCCACTAGCACACCAACGTCCACCCCAACGCGATACAGTGATCGTCATCGGAAGTATAGACCACAGAACAACAATGACTGTACGATTATAACGAAAATTGTTCTCTCTTCTATAGCAACAGTTTGTAGAAGAATACAAATTTCTGCATGAAATATTTTCGATCGCGATTACAATCTAATCTTTTGTTTTTATTGCAGATGCGGATCTACACGCTGAGGTCGAAGGAGCCGAGCTCAGTGGAGATGATCGAAGTATCACGAGTGATATTCAAGATGTCACCGACGCGAATCTCGATCACGACTCAATGGACTCGGACAGGGAAGCTCTTAATTTGGTTCGTAAAATTATTTACATTATACATATTATAAACAATACATTTCAAGAATATTAGATGCATTAATATTGGAATTCTCTTAAATTATCGAAGGAATAATAATAAATCAAGAACCTTTCTAAGTTTAGTGTTTAAAAGAAAACAAAAAATCTGACATTTTCATTCGGGTTCTTAAGTGCGCAAAAAAATGGTTGTGATCAATATTTGACAGCTAAATAAGAAAAGGGACTGTAGAGTGAAAGGACGGAAAATAAAAGAGGGATATATTTTATAAAACACAAAAGAGAAAGATAAACCTTAGTGACCAATATTCTGACCTGGCCAAATGTAAACACGGCTTTATTCGACATTGTTTATTCAGTATTATTAGTAAGGACGCCTTTTCTGATTCTACATTACATCGTGAAATCTCGCCGTATGAGAAAATTCAATGAAATCAATGTTAATTAGTAACTTTTGAGACGAGACAAGATAAAACGGGTTTCAGGAGAAATCGATAAATCTGTGCTGTAGGTTACTGATGTATCACATCGTAATAGCAGCAGTGGCACCAGCGGCAGCTCATCTTCGCCAAGTTCTGGAGTGAGTAGTCAATTGACTGGTACGCATCAGCAACAACAACAACAGCAACAACAACAGCAACAACAGCAACAGCAACAACATACGAGCACGCAAAACAGTGGAAGCTCGCAGGCAGCGTTGGCAGCTCAATTGGTCGGCCAACAATTGTTAATGCATGGATCTCTCGGTACTCTCGGACCTCAAGAGATTCAAGCTCTTGCATCGACCCTACAGCAACAACAACAATCGCTGCAGCAACAACTGCAGCAATTTGCTATGTTTCAGCAAGCCAATCCTGCAGCGGCTGGGCAACTTCCGGCACAGGCACAATTTTTCTTGCAAAATCAAGTAAGTAAATCTTTCTTCCTTCGAGAACAAAAAAATAAATATTCCTTTTTTCCTTATTTCTCAATCCTCTTCTGCCTATTACAAAATTATCTACTCGATACGAATTCGATCGACGAGTCCCGAAATCGAGGCAAATCCGTGACAATTCAAAGAACAAGCTCGCTATCTGATCGAGGGCTGATCTGAAGGGAAGCGAATGTCTTATTCTTCGAAGACAGTTCGTTTGATTCGACATCCAGATAAACGTCTGCTGTTGGCACAAAGGGACAAAATTTCTTCCTTTCTCTCGTTCCAACTTCATTCGATTACAATTTCGGCACATTTGATAAAGAGATTACAATTAATTTTAATGAAATAGCATATAATATTGCTTACGTATGTATCTACATATATATGTTTATGTACAACATTAACTTATTTGATATAATGTAAAAATCTAAAAAAGATCCGTAAAAGATTATTCTTTTTCAAAAAAGAAAAAATAAAAAAGAAAAATAAAACGAACAAAGATACGTATATATCTCACGCGAAATCGTAAATATTTCTTAAGAACATTCGTCGATCATTTCTACCGCCGCAATCTTTTTGTTAAGAAAAAGATCTTTCGCATCGAATCGAGAAAAATCGATTCATTATATCCGGAGATACGTTGAAAAACGACCCTCTTTCCTGGATACCCGCGGTGGGCATCTCTCCTCCCTTCCTTATGCCCTTCCTTCGAAGGACTCTGAATGGGCCCAGGTTCAGCATTTAGGAAAAAATTTCTATAGGCTCCGTCACGAGTAGCGTGTGCAAGGACGCGATGCACAGGCCTTATAAAAAAGCTAACAAAACGACTTCGAATCTTAGCAGATTTAATGGCCGTCTGGATCCAACGTGTACCCGCACGCATACATACATACATATATACGTACAAATATACACACATGCGTTGGCAAGACTCACACTCAAAGTAGGAAGCTTTGGATCCCTTCCTATCTACTTTAAAAGACACTATATACTTTTCTAGGAAGATTCCGAGCCCTTCAGCACCTTGCCCGAACGAGAAGGATCCTTTGTTGCCTCACACGTGGCTGGCTTGTATTTTTTTCCCTTTGCGTTTCTTTTCGAAGGATCTGCTTTTTTGTTCTCGAAACTTTCTAAAGACACACGAGCTTCCCTTACGGGCGTCGCCCTCTCCTAGACTGGATTGTAACCTGTCTTTCAACCCTCTCGCTTACGATACATGCACGACACGTGATCTTCTCAAGCGGATATCTTATTCCCTAATACACTTTCTGTAGCTCCGGACATTTAATTTCTTCATTCCTCGAACATGTTCTAAAATACCCCTTTTTCTATACTAAACTCTTGCTTCGGGTTCGACACGCGACGATACAGAATGGTTTCCGTTTGATTATGATACCGATACAAAGTTTCTTTGTCAAAATACATATTAGAATATAAATTATATATTAGAATTTAAATAATCGTTTTATATATATATACATATATATATATATATAGAGAGAGAGAGAGAGAGAGAGAGAGAAATATAATTTTGTTGTATAATTCGAGCTTACACTTCGTATTATTGAAGCTATACAAATGGTTTGGAAATACATGAAGAATCAACTACCAAATACCTGTTGCCGATCCCTGCACGTGACTAAATTTAAAGGAGTCTCTAAAGGTATCTTGACGACCAACAATAAACATAAGTAAGGTGCTCTCGGTGTGGTTAAACGACACGCGACCGACTCCAAACCCTTTTCCTTCATAGCTGCCACGTTCTGCGCCCTCTTATTCTCATAATCGAGCATCTGGTTAAGAAAGGGTGTAGATAATCGATCGACTTTAGCACCCTACGAAATCTTTGCGTACCTGTATCAAAAAGAACACGTGTCACTTTTATTCCTTTAACTGTACTCTAAACATTCCTTTTTCATCTTTCATTATTTGCTCATATAGTGAAGAATGTTCGCATAAAATTCCCTTTAAATGTCTATGAAAAATGTGAATTAACGTCGATTAATGAGATACATTTTTCTATTATCAGGTACAGCAAGCCGTAGCACAGGCAGCCCAACAATTACAAGCCTTACAGAAACAACAGGCTCTTCAAGGTGGAGGTGGATTGGTAGGAAGAAATTTAACGCAACAAAGATCGCCACCACCTCCTGGTACACCTCCATCTGTAAAACCACCACCAGCAAGACTAGAACCCTCACCGGAAGAAACAACGGACCTTGAAGAACTCGAACAATTTGCGAAGACCTTTAAACAACGACGGATCAAGCTTGGTTTCACGCAAGGTGACGTTGGTCTTGCTATGGGAAAACTCTACGGCAATGACTTCTCTCAAACCACTATTTCAAGGTATATTATTACTCATAATCGAACGTATGAAATCGGAATATTTTTCTATTATAATGTACGTATAAAAATGATAACAATGCGAATAACTATGTTTTAGGTTCGAAGCATTAAATCTTTCTTTCAAGAACATGTGCAAGTTAAAGCCTCTTCTTCAAAAATGGTTAGAAGATGCCGATAATTCCTTGAACAATCCAAACTCACTCTCCAATCCTCTCACGACACCAGAAGCAATAGGCAGGCGACGAAAGAAAAGAACTTCCATAGAAACTAGCGTTAGAGTGGCACTAGAGAAATCTTTCGTCCAAAATCCAAAACCTACTTCCGAAGAAATTACCGTATTAGCGGATAGTTTAGCGATGGAAAAAGAAGTTGTTCGAGTTTGGTTTTGTAACAGGTACATACAATATAGATATAAAAATTTATTATTCATATTTAAATACAATAGGGAAAAAAGAAAACATAGGAATATTTGTTATACAGGCGACAAAAAGAAAAAAGGATCAATCCTCCAACGGCAGCAATGGGGAGCCCGACAATGGCGTCGCCTGCACCATCAGTTTTTGCCTCTTTGGCGAATTCGATATCCGGTAGTCCCTTAGCTCTGACAACACATTCCTCAGGATTAGCTCATTCTCATTCACATTCCACGTCATTGGGATCGCCCCTTCCCTTGGCCTTAGTGGCATCGGCCGGTGGAAATTACCATCCATTGAGTGGGAAATCTCACGAGTGACAACAACAGACGACCCATCAAGGGGACAGCCTTTACCATCATCATGATCAACAACAGAAACAGCACCAACAACAACGACGTTTGTGCAATTTATCCGATTTCTATCATTAAATTATAAATCATAAAAATAGTATACTATATTTACGTGTTGGAAAGCACATAAAATAGTACCAATAGTATCTTGGGCCAAATGAAACTTGGTATCGAGATGGTATTAACAAGTAATTCAACGAAGTTCTTCAAGGTTTTCAATTAACCTTGGAACATATGATATACGAAAATCAGCAGATCGTAGTTATCTTCGGTACAACATCTCGTCTGATGTATATCTGGTGTTATAAAAGGATGGAACATATTCAAATCAAGATATTTCTTGGGTCAATTTTGGAAAAACCTAACGAAAATCTTGATAAACATAAACGACCGACAAAAAGTATACGAAGACACATTGTTACGTCTGGACAGCCACGCTGAAAAACTAAAACGGGGGAAGCAACGATATTCACTAAATATATAGGAAGAAGCTTTCTACTTTTCCTATCGAAGAATCGGAGCTGATCGAAACATTTTCACTATTTTTGTTTAAAAATATCCATTGAATTTCTACAACAAATATCTCTCTTACGGATAAGAGAATGCAAAAAAACCTTACAAATAGATAAGGAACAATGTAAATAGACTTAAACATTATCATTGCTTAATACTGTCTATATCATTAATTCAAATTTACAAATATCAAATTTTCTACGAAATTTTGAACGTAAGTTTTCGTATTCTTAATATTCAAAGGTTTGTGTTCAATGTTTCATATTCGTTTACACGTTACAACGAAATACCTCCCTCCACCTTCCCCGAGAGTTCACTATTGGAAAGTGTCATACAAAGACAAAAAATTGTTTTACTTTTAATAGGAATTGCAATTGTCACAATTACCGTTTAAAAGAGATAAACAAATACATTTTCAATTTAAGTTTATCGTTCGTAATTCGAAAATGGATATTTCTTGCCATTTAAAACACACATTGATAAGTACAGTCGAGTATTTCAATAATATATTACACGGCTACTTAAAAAATGTTTTATCCTTTTAACGGTACGATAAAAGAAATCAATTAGTGTCAAGAAATTTGTCGGTATAGGTAATATATCAAATTTTAATATTATTTTCTTTTTAAAATTTTCGCTGGATTTATCGATACGGAAGAAAATAGTCGACGATGCCTCTTTATAAACGTCGACTATTTCCTTTCCAGATTCCTCTTTCTCGTTTTTATTTTTTTAAGATTTCTTTCTTTTGTTTTAGACAATATCATTCGAAACATGTATAAATCATCTTACACGAATTTGAAAAAAATACAAACATAAGTAATCAATAATTATTTAGCGAAATAATAATACTTTTCTTAACTGTAATAACGAGCTTTTGAACGACGGCTAATCATGTAATTAATTTATGAAAAAGAAAAGGTATTATAAATTATATAAGAATATAATTAGACGCGTGGCTAAGTTAGATAGAAAAAGGAGAATCTTGTGATCATCGATATTCGTTCGAAACTATTTATTTAAAGGATTCATTTTACTCACTTTAGGATATCGCGCTTCCGTGAAGAAATAGAAACATCCAGCGGGGTCCGATAATACCTGTTTGTAAATATAAAGTGCGTAACGTGTCTATCGAAAGCTCGTACATATCCGTGACCCATGTTAGTACATATATACTGTATGGGAGCCAAGGCCCGTGCTCACACTGGCAAGAATGCGAGCAGACTCGTTCCAATAAAGTAAAAGTTTAAAGGTTAAATGGGTGATAGAAAGATCACTTATAACTATCGATCTCCGTATAACGAAAAAGTCATGATTCATACCAAAGGAATACTGTGAAGTACAATAAATAACTAAATATAGCATAATATGTACGATAAAAGAAATCTTTTTTAATAATATTCTCGATTCTAAATGAAGGAGATCAGGATAAGTCATTCGCATTCTTGTCAACAATTTTTTTTCGACGGACACGTATAGCGATAATTTTGTAGATATACGTCCCGAGATAATACGTAATGTATATATTGTGTAAAAATTATAAATAACTATACACACTCACAGATATAGACAGACAGAGACAAACAGAGACAGACAAATACCACACATATACGCACGCACCAAAAATATATACATAAACGTATGATTGAAATTTCGAGAACGAACAGTTGATATGAGACGAAAATAAAAGCTTATACTGAACTATAGGAATTTGCTGTGAAACGATCGTTAACAAATGGAAAAAGTATCAGTAATTATTAACTTTAAGAGCGATGTGCGTGTACGAACATTGATAGAAAAACGTGTTGATTAATGCAAAGGTATACATAACGACTATATCGTTACGGTGATATAAATACCGACATATGTATGTATGCATATATACTTACATATAAATGTATAAATAAAAATATTGTATATAGTAGAAATACGATAAAGATCCGACACGGTCGAAAAATAAGGAGAATCATTAGTTGTAATAGCGTTATTATTATTATTATTATTATTATTATTATTATTATTATTATTATTATTATTAATATTATTATTATTATTATTATTATTATTATTATTATTATTATTATTATTATTATTATTATTATAACTTTTAATTTTATTATTATGATTATTATTATTGCTATTTTTATTATAATTATTATTATAATTACTTTTATTTTAACTAATATTATCAGAATAGCACCGTGGTCACGATCACTGCCGCTACTATTTGTATCCTATGTCATGCGAAACATTGTGAGATTCTTTCGTATAAAAAGGCATATAAAGTTAAACAGGTATCGCGTGCGAATATGCAAGATCTTCGTAAACAGGATGTAATATAGGTGTACATGTGCACGTCTTTATCGTACCTATATACAAAGACACAATTGCCATTCAACCCTATTGATTATACTTGATATTCGAACTTTATTTGGAATTTTCGCATCTCCCAGAATCGTGGACCAAGTTGTAATAAAAATATATGAACAAAAAGGAAAGAAAAGACAAGAAAAATGAAAAGACGTTGTGGTTGTGGAAAAAAGAAAACAAAATAAATAACGTAAAAGAGTTCCTAGAATCGCGCGCGTACTCAATATTATCGTGCACGCGAATGCGCGGGCGATAATTAAACAAGAAAGGAATTGTAAACTTGAAAAATGTAATTGAGAAGAAAAAGAAAAATAACCGTATAATTATAGTTTGAAAAAATAGAACGCAAGGTTCGAGAAACTTTTAGGCAGATAGAAAACGCGTGTTAAAGAGAAGAAAAGAAGAGAAAAAGGGCAAGGGATTTTTAATGATTTTGTTCGAACAAAGTCTCTTTATAGATAAGAAAATTTGAAAATATTTAAAGCATTTCCCTTTGCCCACCTTTCTGAAACTCCTGACCCTTTAAATCATATTCAGTCTAATAATTTCTCTTTCGAAAAGGCAGCGCATTTCGTGAACGATAGATATATTATTATAAATGATTAGCTATCAGTTTATTATTATTATTATTATTATTATTATTATTATTATTATTATATTATTATTATTATTATTATTATTATTATTATTATTATTATTATTATTATTATTATTATTATTATTATTATTATTATATTATTATTATTATTATTATTATTATTATTATTATTATTATTATTATTATTATTATTTCATTATATTTTAACTTTTATTATTTGAAAATAAAAAGATAGAGAAATTTCAGTTACTTTCGCTTTTTCGTTTCTATTTGTTGTTTCACCAACATCCTCCATCCTCTCGTTATATATGCGAACATTTTGTATCTTGAGAGATCCAGGTTTCGCTCGTACCGTCCTATCGAGTTTTTATTTTTCATTATTTATGTTTTTTTGTAAATAAGATCATAATTTAATAATAAATAAGAATTGTTCGGATACTCTCGATCATTTATTCGCGTTACGCGTTTAATACGAATTTCGATTCGTGTCAGTATAATAAAATAGAATTAAAATTAAATTAAAGTAAAATAAAATAAAATAAAATAAAATAAAATAAAAATAATGCGTTGGTGTAACTATTAACTGCATTAGTTATTAGAAGAAGAAATAAGTAAGTCTTCTGGAAGGAGATCGTAGAGTCATTATGAATTTACTTAATAACGTTTTATGTGTAATTCCTGTTACGAGGGAGGTACGTACGTTTGAACCTAATAATCGTAAATCTTATCGAGGTTAATGGTACGTACATTCACTCGTTCGGATCTTAGGGTATTATAACTATAATGATAGGGAAGAAAGAGAAATGAAAAAATAAAAAAGCACGGTATGACAGTTCTTAAAAAGTCATTGACAAATACGAATTCTTATTCGGGAGAAAACAAAAGTATGTTTAACTATTTTGTACTAAGGGATTATGGCGACTTCGCGAACGTTTGTTTTTAAAGTTCGGTAATCTACATAAATAATAATAATAATAATACGGTCGAATAATGTAAAACGTGAAATAAATGAAACGTTGCACGTCCCCAAATGAGATTCGCCTCTAATCTTTTCCTCAGCGAATTTAAGGGACACTTCGAGCGCAATCCGAAGTGTGCGACTCGGTGATGTATAAATAAAATCATATCAATCGTAAATAGTTCGTGTTATCTAGATATATTATTATTATTATTATTATTATTATTATTATTATTATTATTATTATTATTATTATTATTATTATATTATTATTATTATTATTATTATTATTATTATTATTATTATTATATTATTATTATTATTATTATTATTATTATTATTATTATTATTATTATTATTATTATTATTATTATTATTATTATTATTATTATTATTATTATTATTATTATATTATTATTATTATTATTATTATTATTATTATTATTATTATTATTATTATTATTATTATTATTATTATTATTATTATTATTATTATATTATTATTATTATTATTATTACTATTATTATTGTTATTATTATTATAATTATTATTATTATTATTATTATTATTATTATTATTATTATTATTATTATTATTATTATTCTTCTTCTTCTTCTTCTTCTTATTATTATTATTATTATTATCATTATTATTATTATTACCATTATTATTCTAATAATTTATCAACGTATCAATTAGTAAAAATATATTGTAATTGTATAATAAACTACATCATAGATAATCTTTGTTTGACTCCTCCATATAAATAGAAAAAGTTTATATAAGATAATATTGAATCTTTCCAACAGAATTTTTTAGCAGAAATGTTTCAAATAGATCTTACCTTCCCCCCATTCTAGCTGCGAAGAAGCAACGAAGGTGAAAATAGATTCGACGTAAAATACTACGTGCCTATTTTCGAATATGCCTCTTGTACGTGTAGAAACGTGAGTGTTCATTCGTGACGAGGCTTAAGAAACTTTCTTTCTTCATACGTTCCTTTGAATAACTTGCATATTATGGCATACGGAGCAAAGTAATATGATTTTCTCGATGTTACGAAATTTCTTCAACGATATCTTCGATTTTTTGATATGATTTAATATAACATTACAAAAACATTATTTTAAAAGAGAGTAATAGGACATATATTTAATATTAAAAAAATATATTTAAACAAGAGTAAAAGGAACTTTTAATACGTGTTAAAATTAACGAATTACTTCTCTATTAAAAAGGTATGTTATTAAAATATTTACGTTAATTGAATAATTAAAGTAATATTAATAAAACGAAATTAGCAAGTAAATTGAAAAAAGATCTAATGGACAAATTTCGATTTCGAACAACAAACAACGGTCTCGATAAGAGTTTTATATCGATGTACAGTTATCGATACAATGCATCATGGCAGACAGCTTTAAAACATTACAACTGTCAAATACTCACTAAAGTGAGGTTATAAATTCTTTGTACCTTCAATACTCATTTTTCAGTTATCGAACAAAAGACACAATGCACATACAAAACATGCGTGGATGTATTCTATTTCTTACAATCTTCAGTATATCTGAATCTATCTCGAATAGTAATGCGGCGTCTGCACATATTCATACTCATCAACACAATAGAGGTGAAGGCAATGAAAGAACACAAGACGGTGCGTTCAGTCCACGGGGTATGGACCACTACGTAGGTGATGAACATCATCAGGAGTTTGATCATGAGGCAATTCTTGGTATTATTTTAAATTTACTATTTTCTATTTCTCAATATTACTTTATATATATATATATATATATATATATATATATATATATATACATATATACTTTATATATGTATATATATATACAAAGTAATAAATATATATATACAATACATATATTTATATTTTATTTAAATTCAATCATTTAATTTTGTTCTGATAGGAAGCGTTAAAGATGCAGAAGAATTTGATAAACTTCCAGTAGAAGAATCAAGGCGTCGATTAGGCATATTGTTAACCAAAATGGATTTAAATAACGATAATTTCATTGAAAGAAACGAATTGAAAGCTTGGATTTTACGTTCATTCAGGTATGAGCTTGATGTGATAACATTGATGTATGTATTCTTAAATTACATATAATCTTCTTGACAGTATGCTCTCTACCGAAGAATCACAAGACCGCTTGGAAGATGCAGATAGTGATGAAGATGGTAAAGTCAGTTGGGATGAAATTTTGCAAGATATTTATGGATCAGATCCACAAGACCTTGCTCTTGATGATCAACTCATACATTATGATAAAGAAACATTTGATGCAGCAGATTTAAATAAAGATGGTTATTTAGATTCAGAAGAATTTAAGGCATATACTCATCCAGAAGAAGTACCTAGAATGTTTCCACTATTATTAAAACAAGTTCTTGACGAAAAAGATATTGATAAAGATGGTTGTATCAGTTTTCAAGAATATATTGGAGAAAGAGCTAAATCTGAGGATAAAGAGTGGTTGTTGATTAAAAAAGACAAATTTGATCATGAATATGACAAAAATGGAAATGGTAAACTTGAATCTGATGAGATTTTATCATGGCGTGTACCAAGTAACGAGTAAGTAAATATATATTTTAATAAACATATAATGAGAAGTTGATATTGGTGGAAATGTAATGAAAAATGATATTGGTGGTAAAATTTAAAAACTATCAATATATTTCAGAGAAATAGCAAACGACGAAGTTGATCACTTATTTGCAGCATCTGATGATGATCATGATAATAGATTGTCATTCGAAGAAATTTTGGATCATCATGATACATTTGTAGGTAGTGAAGCAACTGATTATGGAGACCAGTTACAAGACATTGAACGCTTTACTGATGAACTCTGAAAAATTTATTTTAAATGACATTTAGAATATTTTTATTTTTTCCTAATAGAAATTACAAACTTATAATATTTAATACAAGTGTTTCAAACTTTGTTGGTATCGCCATTTATACTATATTCGAAATGCATAATAGATTAGTGGAAAATATGAAACTTAAATTTTTAAATATCTGCACAAATACTTTTTTAATATTTGTATGCTTTCAAAAAAAATAGTGCTGCGTAAATCACCGTCTTCCACTATCTACAACTTTAGTGCCATAATACTGGATAAGAAGTCATTTTTTTCATTGTAGTTATCGTCTTAGTAAAAGTTACCATATAAATATCACACATTATTATTAATATAATTATTTACTGTATATCATATATATAAGCATATGTTTATATCGAAATCATTCAATATTTATGTTCCTATATTTTCCAAATACAATCATTATAAATTTCAATTACATATTTACAAATTATATACAAAATTTATACCTTACTTGAGTTATGGTATAATGTATGAATATTATCGCTATGTAAATTCTATACTGGTAATGTACTGTACTTCTCTTGTCACCTAACGCTCTAAAATATTAAATTGATTTATACAGAAATATAAATCAAAAAATAAGAAACTAATTTTGTACATTTTTAAACATTTCCCGCGTAAAATTGTTGATAAAGAATAGGTATAATTCAAAAAATTTACAAAATTGAACAAACAAAAATACGATAACCTAATTTCTATATAAATGTTTGATAACGAAAATCTAAAACTTTATTTTTAATTTAATCTATCTATAATTGAACTGAACAATATACCATATTCGAAATTTAATAACTGAATAATACGATATTCAATATCAAGATTCCATTATTTACGCAATAAATATAAAATACAAAGAAAAAAATAAATTAAAAATAAAAATATTCATGAAGATAATATAAAAATTTTAATTATATTCTTATCCATGTACCAATATCAAATTATTTATATAATTATTAAATACATCAGTTATGTCCATTTGTATTATAACCAACATTCTATTACTTACAATATGTCCTTCACGAGACGAATAGAAGGAAAGTACCAATCATATGCGAATATCATCCCTTTTTGCTCAAATCGTGTAATGCATGTTAACCTTTAAGACTTTTCGTCACTTCTGTTTGTATAATCGTTTATATCCTTGTTTAAACGAGGAAATGACTTTTTAGAATTTCTGAATAAGTTTTATTTTCTATGAAAAAGATCGTATCAAAAAATACTGTTCTTTTGAGAGTAATTTATAAATGAAAATAAAAATTTTTCAAAAATTCGAAAAAGCTATCTCCTCATTTATACCTTCATCTTTAAAATGATACCTTATTCATCAAAATTAATTAAGAATTACACCTGGATTCACTGCAGGAGTAAACGCTATTTTCAATATTTTTTGTAAAAAATACATTTCGTATAGGGCGCCCTCTGAAATCTGCGATAAAAGTGATGATGGTGATTTTTAGTAACAAAAAAAAAGAAAGGATATTCTACCAATATTAATAATTAAATAATAATAATTTATAATAATCCAAACCATATAATTGTCTTAAAATATACATTTAAAATATATACTTTTTATAAAATGTCCAATTTAAGAAATAAAAAGTAAATTTATTTTATATGTAAGTATAGATTTCATGTTAAAACATGAAATGAAGTCTTTTACTTTTATGATAAAATCAAATAATTGTTTCATTAAATGTGAAAAATATCATGCCTACCCTTGCAAAAAGAACAATATTCAAGTTAAAAGATATGTTACATATTATGCAATAAAATGGATCATCCAAAACGTGATATAGCAGTTATATTTAATCACAAATTTTTTTCTATAGATCACCTAGAATAAAGTACAACAAATAAGGATTGTAAAAATCTCAAGGATACACTTGAATCACTTGGATTCATAGTACAAGTTTATAACAATTATACTACTGAAAAGTTAAAAAATGCTTCGTAAAAAGATAAATTTCTTTTTAGTTTTTTTAATTCGCATTTTGTAGTTCATATTTTATCCATTCCTGTCGCTGAAGTTACATATACTACAAGCGAAAGATAGTAGCATCTATTTCAAAAATTGACGTGTACACATCGAAGCGCTATCTATAATCTACTGTAACCATATTTCTTAACCTATAACCATTACCGCTTTGCAAACATAGGACGGTTCGATCATTTTGCAAGATATTCTTAAATGCAAACGTTCTTTTACTATTAATTAAAATGGGTGGTGTTGAAAATACTGTAAGTTATCTTTAAATGTTAAAGTACTGTATTTTAATAAGAATTGTAGGTAATATCACAAGAAATATTTTTTCTTCTAATTCCGTATGCTTAACGAGACTTCTTAGATTTAGTTAATGAATTCAAGACATATATTATTACGTATATAATACTTAACAATTATATATCTCAGATTTTCATTGGACGAATACATTTTAGGGAATCAAAATCAATAAATGGGATGGATCTGCTGTAAAGAATGCATTAGATGATGCAGTAAAGGATGTTCTTACAAAAAAATATAATTACATAGAAAATTTTGCTCTTCTTGATGGAAGACTGGCACTCTGTGGAATTGCAGTGATAATAGCTATAATCGCATTACTTTTTGACTACTTATATCCATTCCCAGCATCTAAACCTGTTTTGATAGTTTGCGTATCATTATATTTTGTTTTGATGGGACTTTTAACTCTTTATACGACTTATAAAGAAAAAGGAATATTTGTTGTTGCTATTCAAAGGTAAATTTCAAAATATTAAGATCTCTGTACAATTTATTTAATTATTTTACGTTACAGGGATCCTGCGGGTTTCAATCCTGATCTCATATGGGAAGCAAGTTCATATATGAAAAAGTATGACGATAAATATAGTCTCGTATTGTCTGTTAGAAGTCCTTCCTCAGGGATTACTAATGAAACTACAGTAACAAAATCCGTTGCAAATTTCATTGATGTGAATGGTGTAGTAATACCAGAATTAATAGAAGCTGTTGTAACAGACATGCATGACAGTATAACACGTCAGCGCAAAGAAAAGTAGATTATGATTATATAAAAGTATATGATTTTTATTTTAAACATACACTTCAAACAATTTATATCATTAATTTCATTTATATATGTGCGATACATTAGAAAAAAATAAAAATATTTGTTAAAACTTTGTGTTTATAAAAAGTAAAATATAAACACAACAGATAATTCTTTAAGACATTTTTGCGAACGTTATGATTCTTAATACAACAATTTCTAGAAATTATATTACATTATATTTGTTCAATATGATATTATATTTTCTGTAAACATGTCGAAAATATTTAAATTTATACAATGAAACAGTATATCAAGAATTATTATTGATAGTTTCGATTTATGGTTAAAGTTTCATACTTTAGTTCGAAAAAATTTTATAGAAATGACAATTCTTTTTGAATTATTCAGAGTATGCTTGCAATTACATGCTTACATATAAATAAAATAAAATCATGTTATCTTAACCGTGCGTTGTATCATCTTCAACAAAGTCTGCTGCTTCTTCTCGTGATACACATTCAACGTGCGATACTTTATTTCTAAATTTTACTCCATAAAATTTATTCGCATGTTGCAATAATTCTGGCCTGTAATATGATTACATATATACAAAATTTTTTTTATACTAGATATACAAATCTTTTTAATTTTATATTATATATATATATATATATACATGATGCTACCTGAAAGTTGTTGTAATAAATTGTGCATCCGAACTAAGTTCATGAATCATATCAGCAACTGCTTTTCTATGTTGTGCATCTAAAGCTTGATCTATTTCATCAAATAAATAAAATGGTGCAGGATCACACTTTTGAATTGCAAAAATTAAAGCTAATGCTACTAGCGATTTCTGACCACCAGATAATTGATTCATTTCTCGCATCTCAGCTCTATGACCAGTGAAAGAGACTCGTATTCCTATAAGATAATAATAATAGTAATAATAATTTTCATAGGTCTTATTCATTTTGGATTTATTCTAAGAATAAATTGTTAATGACATCTTACCAACACCAATAAAACGATCAGAATCTGCAGCTTCTGTTGTACCGTCATCTCCTTCATCACCATCTGCAGTTTTCATAACTAACTGAGCATGACCTGATGGTACAAGTTTTTTAAATACTTCACTGAAATATTTACTTACCTAAACAAGACAGAATACTTACATGTATATAATTTAATTACATTATAAGAAATTTTTTATTCTTAGGAAAACTGTTATATACTATACTTGTTTAAAAGTAAATTGAATAGCTTCGCATTTGCGTTGTTCCAGAACTGACATCAACTCTTTAATTTTTTCATCGCCGCGATCTAGTTCTTCCTTTCGTTTCACTAATTTTTCTTTTTGATCGCTAAATGACATGAATTGATCTAAGGCCTTTTTGTTGACATGACTGCAAAAAACTCTCATAAATCATAAGTTAAATATCTTAATTGCTTTTAAATCCTACGATATAAAGCCATACCTATATTTCTTTAAATGATTATTTGCTTTCTCCATTTCTCTGAATAATTGTTTTGTGGACATAACACTAAATTTAGTATATGCCTCATGACTAGGTAATGCACCTAATTCTGTAATCTTTTGTGTACACTCCACTATTTTCTGTTGTAAAATATTTAATTTACTTGCTAATTTTTCTAAATCTTTAGCATCAGCTTCTATTTTTTCTTGTGCCTCTTTTTCTTTTACTTTCCACTTTTCAACTTCAGCAGATTCTGCTTTTTGCTAAAAATATATCATATTGTTATCTACATTTTATACTTGAATTAAATAAAAAGATAAATAAATAATGAAAATTGTCATTTTTAGATTATTCTATTGGAAATAGTATTTGTATTTAAATACATATTTACCTTTTTCATGGCATTAGTTACTTTTTCATTTTGAGCTTTAAAATCTGCATTAACTTTTACTAGTCTTTTCTCAATATCTGCTAGTTGAGCTTTCGATGAGTCAAGCTGACGTTGTCGATCTTCTACGGATATTTCTTGCAATGCTTGAACTAATTCATCCTTTCTTCTAACTAAATTATTTGTTAGAAGATTTTCTAATTTATTTTTCTCTGCTTCTAATCTCATTCTTTTTGCAAATGCTTCTTTATTTTCTTTCGTTAATCGTCTTATATCATCATTTAAGGTATCGACCTATATAAATGAAATCGAAATATAAACAAGACGATTGTTTAATATTTATTTTATATTAATAATCTATACCTGATGTTGATCGGCCACGGATAATTGTGCCATTAATTCTTGATGTAATTCACTCTCTAAACCCTCTTTAGTTGCTCTCATTGCTTCCAAATTTGAAGTACATTGTGCAAGACTTTTCTCTTTAGGTGTTCTATATCTCTCGATGGCACTCAATTCCTCTTTCATTATACGTATTTCTGCCTTCATTTTATCATATATGTCTCTAAAATAATAATTCATTTTTTTAATAACACGAATGAACTTTGGATTGATTAAAATCATTTAACAACTAACTTGGCTTTACTATTTTTCGTCTCTGTACGTTGCATTTCGCTAACGTAAGAACTAATATTTTGATCAGCCTTTCTTATTTCTTCTTTAAGAGTTGATAATTGACTTTCAAGAGTAGAGATCTGTGCCATTAATTCTGATCGAGTTTTTTGTATTTCAAGTCGTGATCTTAAAGTATTAAAATATCCACCAGTTAAAGAGCCTTTTGATGATACTTGATCACCTTCGAGTGTTACGCAATCCAAGCCAGATGTTCGAGCGAGATTTGTTGCTGCTTCTAAATTACGACAAATTAATGTTTTTCCAAAAATGTACCTGCATTAATAAAAAAAAAAGAAAAATTAAGATTAAGTTATATAAAATATTTGTTGAATTTTACAGAAAAATTATAAAAAATTTCTGTGCCATTACCTCAATGCCTTATCATATTTAGGATCATAATTTAAACGAGATATCATTGGTATAGCATCCGAAGTATTAGGATAATCTATATTCTTAGTATGAAGACGGTTTAAAGGCATAAACGTAACTTCTCCTGGAAGACGCTGATTATTCATTTCTTTTAGAATTTTAGTGCCAAACTTATCTGTTTCCACGATGTGATGAAACAATCGATTTCCAGCTGTTACCTCTACAGCCATATAAACACTTTTGTCGCAATTAAAGTTTTCTATCACTGGCCCATAGTAACTACTTACCTCATGGGCCATATCGTTACGTCCACTGTAAGATATACATATTGTTAAAATTAATATACTTTTTATATTTTCAGATTATCAAACATAGATAATTAATATAATAGAAAAAAAAAAAAGAAAATATAACAAAGTAATAACTTACCGGAACGTGTCAAGTACTTTTCGTACACTATCTCTACCATTAAGAATAGGTTTTCCAGCCATAGAACGTAAACTTTGATCTGCTTTTGCTAAATCTTCTTTCAATCCTGACAAATTCAGTTGCAATACACTTTCTTGACGATACCTGTAACGTTACAGATTCATATTATTCGTTCATATTACTAGATAAAACTAATGGTAGAATGCACAAACTGTTCTTTTCTTGTTGCTTGACATTGATCTTTGGCTTTTGTTAATTCATAATATTGTTTATTATGATCATCTATTGATGCACGTTGTCTGTCCATTTCACGTGTATGTTCTTCTATTTTCTTTTCTAAAGCAATTTGCTTTTCTGCATCTTTTTTTAAATCCTCACTAATCTTTTTCTGATGTTCTTCTTTATCTTTTATTTGTTTGGCCAATTGTTTAAGCTCATTTTGTATCCATTTATCTCTTTCATCCTATAACAAATAATATATAACAAATAGTACAATAAATTATTTATAAATTAATTCATACAAATCTATATATCTGGAATTTTGTCAATTGATAGTTTTTATTACCCTACTAGTAAATTGATTACCACGCCCTTGTTTAGCATAAAGTTCCTTTCTCTTTTGTTCCTTAAGTTGTAATTCTCTTGTACATTCTTCTTCAACACGTTTCATTTCTTCATACTGTAAAAATGAATATAATCATATAATAATCATAAAAAAGTGATTACATTTATATCATAAGTAATTATTTAAATACTTCTGGCTTAATTGCTTCTAATTCTGCTTCACGAGCTGCTATGTTTACTTTCAGTTTTTCTAATTCCTGTTGTGCCCTTTTTCTACTATCATTATCACCTTTAACTTCTTCTAATAAATCGTTAATAGTTAACGTCAATTTTGTTTTTTCTTTTAATAATTGTTGTTGTTCAGCGCTATATAATCATAATGATAATTAATAAAAAAAACATGTTCTTAAACATACATAAATATGGAAATAGATTGCATCAGAAGTTACCTTAAAGTATCTCTTTCTTCTTTTGCTGTTTGTACTTCCTTTTTAGCTTCTTTGAGACGTTTAGTTGCTGCTCGTACCATTTCTTGTGCAGTTTTTGCTTCAGCACCTAATCTTGCTTGTTCAGCACCACTATTTGCACGAGATGCTTCGAGTTCTTCAAGTTTTCTTTTATTCTCCTTAAGTTCACGTTCATGAATTGTATATTCTAAACAACGCCGCTGTTTATCCCAACGCTGATACTCCTTTAATTCCTCTTTTTCTTCTTCTAAAGTCTTTAATCGTTCCTCTAAAGTGCAACAAAGTAAATATACATATAAGTTTACATGAAATTTTATAACTTTATCATTTAAATACAAATATATTACCTATGGTACGCAAAAAATCTTCTATTTTTTCAAGCTTCCCTTCTGTTTCTTTCAATATAGATTTGGATTCTTCTCTTCTATCATCATACACTCTTGTACCAGCAACTTCTCTTAATAGCTTTAATCTCTGTGAGTCTGGAGCTGTCGCCATTTGATTTATCTATGTACAAATACATATTAATTTTAAAGATATGTTTTAAATAAACAGTTTGTAATACAAATTTATATAATAATGAGACAAACCTTTCCTTGCTTTACAATGTAATATGGATTTGATCTTGAAAAACCTGCCGACTCTAATAGATTCATTACATCATTCCTTGTAACAATCTTTTTGTTAAGAAAATACTGATCCTTCTTTGATCCAATCACTCTTCTTAAATAAACTTCATCTTTATCAATCTGTTGTAAAAATAAGTCATCGTATGTGAAAAAATTTACATTTTAATAGCTATTATACAAGATAATTTGATAACTTATACCGGTAATCTTCCATCAGAGTTATCAAATATAATTTCCACATGAGCAGAAATTACACGAGGTCCAGTACCTTCATGCAATAGAGCTTGTCTTTGTTCAGGTCTGAGATGAGAAAATTCATCGCTTAAAACAAACTGAATTGCATAGAAAAAGTTACTTTTTCCAGATCCATTTCTTCCAACTTAAAAAGAATTATATATAAAGTAAATAATCTTGAATAAATTATTTTCATAAATATCAAAAATACATACCAACTACATTATGTCTAGGATCAAAAGGTTCGACCACTGTTTGTTCACGATATGATTTAAATCCTTGTATAATTACCTAAGACCAAAAAATATTTAATTAAATAGAAATAAAATATAATGTTTCATATAAATCTTGATATTTTCAGCAAGACAAGTATTTATTTAAAACAACTATAAAGGTATCATAAAGGCAATATAAAAAAGGACATTTTTGTCATTCATTTATTTAACGTTTATATTTGTATGATATAATAATCTATAGCGAGATAGAATTAAAAAATAATTCATTAAGAAAGATAGCATCTAGCCAAAAAAAATATGATATACAAATATTATTAAACAATAATAAAGATAAATGTTCTTCTTGTACCTGTTTGATATACATTATGTATTTAAAAATTATAAAAACATTTTTAGTTTAATACAAAAATGAAAATAATCAAATATAATTCAATCACTGGATAAAACAAAAACATTCGCTCATTTGTTAGCAGAGTCAATAATCGCTCCTAATCGTCACTTGTAAGATAACCTTCAATATACTAAGTCTAAAATTTCCTAGATTTGAGCGGGAGCATAAACGAAAGTATTGCTTGACAGTTAACCAATATTGAAAAAAAAAATCACTATAACATTCTTTTGTTGATTTGAATTCACTATGCGACGTAAGTACAGGAATAATTATTAATTAACACAAGAACAGTACATTATTTGCCTTCTTATATAGTATGTTTATTAATAATTTTTACATGGTTTTAACAAATTATGTTTGTACGTCGATTTTTAGTATTATTACTTCATATATCTGTACATATTTGTTTTTTAATAGTATTTAAAATAATCTCTGATACTGATCAATGTGGTAAATATTTAATGAAATTATTTAATGGTGTATACTTAAAGCATCACTTTGTACTTCATGACTCAATTGAGTCTGTAAATTCGATAACTTATTTTTTAAGGCAGCAATACCCATCATTACAATATTTTCTGGTTTTAATGCTCCACTGCTTTCTACATTAAAATAATATTTATTTGGTTTTGCTTCCCAATTGAAAGGTGCTTCATCTAAAAAAAACAAAAGATATAAAGAACATATAAATTCAAAAAAGTACTGAATAAATATAATACTTACATTGATCTTCTTCTAATTCACTATATTCTGATTTTGGCCATTCATCTGGTTTTGGAAATAAAGTGTGCCTCATAGAATTGTCTGGATCATATTCAAAACTGACACCTGCAGTCGGATTCCATTTTGCATGCTCCTTTCCAAATCCTTTCTTTGCATAAGCTCTTAATTTTAATTCTTGTCCCTTCCGTAATTTTACGATCAAAATTTCTGTTACAAAATAAATATTTTATTTTATCTCTAAGTTATTTACAAGATGAATAATATTAAATATTAACCATCAGTTTCGCCATATTCACTAGCATCATCTTCTCTATGTCTAGATGTAACAGGTAGTACTCTAGGATCACTTGATTTAAAATCAGCAGTTGTAACATGCCTTGTTTGATCTTCTGTACACTTTACATCAAGAGTAAATTCAACGCTACATTCAGGACAAAAATCCATACATTGACAATCTCTGGTATATTGTATTCTATCTACTACCTAAACCAATAATAATATTGATTTTATTTATTCTGCGTAGTATGCTACTTCTAAATCAAACAAAACCAAGATATATTGAATACACACATCATCGCTTATTAAAGGTATCATTCCTATTCTGTGTGCCAAAAATTCATCGCTTAAAACTGTTGAGTTTGCTTCTAATTGTATCCAATCAATAGCCATTGTTGGTGTTTCGGCAATAAATACTCTTCTCATACTGTTTGCTACACTTTAATTCAATGAAAAAATAATCATTAAAATATATTTAAAAAACAAGATAAAAACTTCATAATAAGAACACTAAAAATAAACATTAACATACCTTAATTCTGTATCTTCTACTTGAAATTTCACATTTTCTTCTGTTAAGTCTGATATATGCACGGATGGTTGATTTGCGTATGGCATTTTAAAGAAAATATATTTCAAAACTAATACACTTATGTAAAATATAGAATACTTTCTAAACTTGTCAATAATTATTATAAGTTTCTAACTTATTTTGATCTCGTAAATCTTTATAACTTTTCCAAATACTGCAACTCAAACAAATTTTAATCCAAAATTATTTGAAGGTTATGATTCCTAACAGTACAGCCAATCATACAAATATAATACTTATAGTTCCATTTTTTTCGGAATTCTTTATTTTACTAATAATATTAAATATGTTCATATATATAGATCTAGATCTAGATGTAGATATTTGAACAGCACATGTCCAATATTTTAAAAAGTATAACTTATAATAATCATATGGTAACTATGGAGATTATTTATGTGTACAACAAACATCATATGCAAACGATATTAATTTTAAATGTTTAGTAAAATAAAACTTACATTTTTTTATGTAGATTTTTTATAATAAACAATAAAAAATAAATAAGTTCATAAAATTATATTATTATAAAATTCAATATTTAAGATTTTACTATGGAGAAATATATTATTTTGGATAAAATTGGTGAAGGTGCGCAAGGATTGGTTTTAAAAGGATATCATAGATCTACTGAACAAGAAGTTGCATTAAAAAGAATACTTTTAAAAAAGGTAGAAGAAGGTATATCTGTATCAGTTATACGAGAAGTTAAAACGCTTCAACAGTTAAAACATCCTTATGTATGACAATATTCTCATTTTTATATTTTAGTTTATATTAACACTTATTATTTAAAATTATTATATGTAGATTATTGTATTATTACAGATCATAGAACTATTAGATACTTTTCCATTAGGTTTAGATTATATAATGGTTTTTGAATATATGCCTACAGGATTATGGGAAATATTAAAAGATAATAATATTTCATTAACAATACCACAAATAAAAATATATATGAAAATGCTTTTAGAGGGTATAGCATATGTACATGGAAAAAATATAATACACAGGGTACATTGTTTATATTAAATATAACTTTAAAATAAATATGGTAGTTTTATAAGAAATACTTTTTCTATAGGATTTAAAACCTGCTAATTTATTGATAAATAATGAAGGTATTTTAAAAATAGCTGATTTTGGATTGGGAAGATTAATGTGGCAGGATCTTTCTAAACCATATTCTCACCAAGTTGCTACAAGATGGTACAGAGCACCTGAATTATTGTATGGAGCAAGATATTATACATCAGCTATCGATATGTGGTCTGTTGGTTGTATTTTTGGTGAAATGCTTAATAATTCACCTTTGTTTCCAGTAAGTCGATCTGTTTTATAAATTTATATAAATTTACATATAGATAAATTGCAGGGAGAAACAGATATTGAACAATTAGCAATAGTATTAAAATATTTAGGATCTCCTACTGTTGAATCATGGCCAGAATTGATTACATTACCTGATTACAATAAAATTACATTTCCATATAATAAAGGTACAACGTGGGAAAACATTATACAGGATGCTGAACCAGAAGCTATTGATTTAATTAAACAAATTCTTATATATAATTCATCAAACCGTCTTTCTGCTAAAGAAGTATATTAATTTTTATATTATTGTTTCTCTTAAAACATTATTTTATAACTATACTATCCTGTATTATTTTATATTTTAGACACTGCAACATATATATTTTTATTCTAAACCTTATCCATCTGCAGGAGATTTAATAAAGCCATCACAAGATCATCGACTTTTAGTAAAACCTAAAGAGGTTGAAGTAAGTATTCCAATAACAACTCTTTTTAAAGCTCTTCTAAATACTATATAAAAATATAGATATATTTTTAAAAATGAATTAAGGATATAATATATATATAGAAAATACAAAATTGTGGAATGCTACTTTAATAAAAATAATTTATTTATTAAATTATATATTTTTATAAAATGCAAATAGTTTTTTCACAACTTCAGGATTATAACCTGTAAGAATTGGTTTACCCACCTCATAACACGCCTTTTCATATAGCTGTAATGTTGGACTAGACCACCAGAAATTTCTAATACCTTCTATTTTATTTATATCTAGTGTATTAAGTTGAAATACTGAAAAATGAAAATTTTTTCCGTTTGATTGAATACATTGCACAATTATTGGTTCTGGTAAATGTTTAACATCGGGTCCATATTTTTGACGTGCATTAGCTGCTGCTGCAGTAAATGATTTTATCAAAGAACGTGCATGTATTTGATCTTCAATTACTGGTAGCTCAGAAAGATTTTTTACTTCTTCTGGATTATGGCTTATAAATATGGTATGAATATTCGGCCAGGGTGATGTTGTCTCAATAGCTATTATAAATATATTGTAATTAAAGCATAAATCTTTATTTAAACAAATTTAACAAAACAAAATAATTACTTACGATATAGATCTTCGTTTCTATAAATATTTATTTTTTCCAAGCTAACTGTAGGATAAAATGGATATATACTTGGAAAATCTAATTCTGTATGAGCATTTTGATCTTCTATCTTTGTTAAAGACTTTGTTGATACAATTGTTAAATCAAATGTCAATGCAAATTGCAATAGATTTAATTCTTTTTCTAAAATTTAATAAATATTTCTTAATATTCATAAATGTTATGTACAAAAAGAAGTAAGCAATTTATATACCTATTGAAATATTTATAATTCCGTTATGAAAAATAGAACGAGTTCGTACAATCTCTGGACCACATACACATTCACAAATTTGAAGTAGTTTCTTGAATAAATTGTGCCTACAAAGATGATTAAATTCATTTATTACATATAAATAAAATGGTAGATATATTTCAAGTATATCGGTTCTTCTTTTAAATGTATGGCAAATATAGTTTCATTAAAATCATTAATTACGTTTTTCTAATATCTGTCACACCATAATCTCTAGGAAAATTCCATGCTGGTCTGTTTGGATCTTTTTTTTTTGGTAATAGCTCTTGATGTGCATCAAATATAACGGACGTATAAATTGTTCTATATATAGAAATGCATATTAAAATAAGTATATATATAGAATTTGATTATGAGATAATGATACCTTTCAACTAAACGATGTATATCATCTGAAAGATCCATCTCTTTTTCTTTAATTTGCTGTGGAAGTTCATTTTTTATATGAATGGTTTTTAATAATAGTTGTGCTTGAGATACGCCTTGTTGTAAGACATTGTGATCCTTATAGCTTAAACAAGCTCTATCTTTCCAATCAGGATGGGTGTTGTCAAACTTTAATTGTTTATAAATATATTCTGGTTCTATCCTTTAATTAAATAAAATATTTAAATTTTATTAATCAATATTATAAAAGAATATTTGTAAATATATCTATGTTATATATATGGTACATACTTTACAAACTCTTTCTTTGGTTGAATTAAATCAATGGGATCTATGATTTTTATGTTCAGTGTTGATAATTTACTTTCTAGATTATTCTCCACAATTTTTCTGTCACGCTGGTCAAACCACACTTTTCTAATTAATCTACCCAAATGATATTTCCTTAATGCTTGTGTTAGTTTCATTTTGCTTTATCTGAAATAGAAATATTATGTTGTTTCTCTACAAATAAAGACATCATAAATTTATTTATAATAATCATCATTACATTAGATCAAATCATTGCATTAGTATAAATAATAATATAGTTTATGACTTTATAAATTATTCATAATACAGAAGATTGATGTAAATATGATATAGACGATAATATATCAATAAAAGTTCATACCGTAGATTATATTTATAAGTACATACAGAATATATTGTATAATTATTTATACAATTTATTTATACAATTTACATATATATCTCATGTAAGTATAGCAGTCTTCAGTAGGAGACATACGTCTTTAAGTGAATATAAGGTTAAGTATTACATTTTATACCACTAATCCATAGTATCTCAACAATAGGTGCGCTAGAGTCATCATATTTGACGCCATCTTATATTGTAACTTTATACTAATCTTTGGATTAGATTTTTTAATAAATAATATTAATAATTTCAAATATAATAAATAGTGGTATTTAAAATATTGGTAAAAAATTGTAATTATACGTTATGGCTGCAGCTGGAATTATTGACGATGACATTTATACAGGTTATGACGATTATCCATCCATTTATAGTACTAAAGATCTTGATCAAGATGAATTATTTCAAGAAGCTGTTAAAACTAGTTATGCGAAAAGATCGATAGTAAGTATCATCATTTTTCAATGATCTTAAGTATTTCTTTTATTACATTATTCATTTATTGCAGCAAACTCCAAAGATTCCAGGTAGTGCAATGCGCCTTGGAACATCAAGCGGTGTAAGCAAATATATAATTATGATAATATGAAATATTATTAGTCAAGGATAAATATATTAAATATATTGTTACATTATAATTTCAGTTCAATAGGGTTGGAACTACAGTATCTTTACGACCAAATACTGGTGGACTTAGACCAATGACAGCAGTTAGAGGTGCTGGTTATACTAGTAATAGACAAATGTTTGATCCTCTTAATATGAGCAGTAATATTAGAGGACCTGCACCCCCATTAGAAAATAATAAAGAAAATACGTGAGTATTATCTATAAGGTTTGATTTTTTATGATCTATTATGTTTAGTTAAAGTTTTGTTTGTTTTCAATTCAAGACCAGAAGAAAAAATAAAAATAAGTGAAAGAAAAATTATGGAATTGATAGAAAATTCTATTGAAGCAGCTTGTAACAACAATATGCATGTTGCTTTAGAACGAGCTAGAGAAGCTTCATCAAGGGAACGTGCTCTTATAAGATTACAAGAACAGGCTGGTTTGAGTGATACCCATAATGTTGATCTGACATTTGCTGTAAGAAATTTATTTAATTTTTAAATTTATTAATTGCTTATATAAATACTCAAGTATTATGTATATTTAGGTACTATTCAACTTAACAATACAATATACAAATAACGAAATGTACACAGAAGCTATAGCTACTTATCAAGCTATTACAAGAAACAGAATGTTCAGTAATAGTGGAAGATTAAAAGTAAATATGGGAAATATTTATGTTAAAATGGGACAATTACCTCAAGCAATTAAAATGTATAGAATGGCTTTTGATCAGGCACCAATAGCTCATAAGGATTTAAGGTATATAAGCTTATACATTATGTTACTTATATAATCACAATCAGAAAGTCATATATTTTCATTCTTAACAAATATTTTATCTGTTAATCCTATATGTAATTCCTAGAATAAAAATAATGCATAACATTGGAATGTTATTTGTACAAATGGGTCGTTTAGAAGAAGCAGCTAATAGTTTTGAATGGGTTATGAGAGAACAACCAGAATTTACTGCTGGCTTGCATGCTGTGTTATGTCATTTTGCATTATCACATAGAGATAAAATGAAACGATCATTTTTAGAGTTGTTAGAGGTTCAGCTTAATATTGATCAAGAAGACAAATATAATACAAGTGCAGTGAGTTTATATAGAATGTGTTCACATTTAATCACTATGTGTTATCAGTAATGCTCACTCTACACTAACTATTATATACATTTTATCAAATACCGTGATTTTTCTCTGCCTTTTTATGTATCATTTTATGAAGTATTCATAAACTAATACTAAACTATTATGTGGTTTTTATGGATGTTATTAGACTTTTTTGATAATTTTAAAATAAATTATGTTTTTATGTGTAGGACGATTTAGACTCAAACATATTATATGAAGTTTTAAAAAATGATGATTTATCCAAATTTGAGAAGGAATTAAAACTAGAAGGGGAAAAAACTATTCTTTGTGCAGCTAAACTTATAGCACCTGTGATTGAAGATTCTGTTTCAGCTGGATTTGCTTGGTGAATATTATATAATATAATTTGTTCATAAAGAATTCTTCATTATTTAAATATTTATATTTTTTTCCTATGTTTTTTGTTAAGGTGTGTGGATGCTATAAAATCTTCTGCTTATGGAACTGTAGCTGCAGATTTAGAAATAAATAAAGCTATGGTTTACTTACACAATAAAGAGACACAACTGGCTATTGATACTTTAAAAAATTTTCAAAATAGTGAAATTAAAGCTAACAGTGCAGCATCAACTATGCTATCATTTATTTATTATCTTGTAAGTAATTAAGATATTTTTCTAATGTATTGTGCTATTTTTATATTTTAATAATAATATAATTTTATTTTTTAGCAAGGTGATTATGAACAAGCTGAAAAATGTGCAGAAACAGCACGGAATGCAGATAGTTATAATGCTGCTGCTTATGTTAATTTAGCAGCTTGTGCAATGAAAAAAAATGAATTGGATATAGCCAAGGAGTTTCTTTTATGTGCACTAGATACAGATGCTACTCATATACAAGCACTTTATAACTTGGGTAAATATATTATTATTTTATTATTTATCAGAAGTTTAACAATGAAATACTTATCAATATTTATATAGGTTTGGTATATAAAAAACAAAACATGTATGAAGAAGCTTTGGAATGTTTTTGGAAGTTACGTAATATTGTCAGATATGATCCACAGACATTGTATCAGATTGGACAAATATATCAGCTTATTAATGATACAGAACAAGCAGCTGAATGGTATTAAATATTACTTGTGTGTTGCATTATATTATTTACATAAATAATAATAATTTGGAATATTTTCTATAATAGGTATAACCAATTGTTAGGTATAATACCATCAGATCCAGGAGTTTTACAAAAATTAGGAGAAATGTATGACAGTTTGGGTGATAAACAACAGGCATATCAATTTTATAGTGATGTAAGTGTAATTTGTTATTTAATTATTATTATTCTTTTTATATCACTTCTTAGCAGTAATTTTTAAAATTTTAATTCCAGTCTTATAGATTTTTCCCTGCTAATTATGAAGTGATTGATTGGTTAGGATCATATTTCATATCTATGCAGGTAATATATATTTATATTATTTATTTATATAAATAATATAAATCTAATTACATAAAGATATTAATGTTATATTATTATACAAAGGTTGCAGAGAAAGCAATGTTATATTTTGAAAAAGCTGTGGAACTTGCACCCGATGAACCTAGATGGAGATTACTGGTAGCTGCTTGCTTAAGACGGACTGGACAATTTCACAAAGCTCTTTCAGAATATCAGGATATACACAAAAGATTTCCAGAGAATATTGAATGTTTAAAATTTTTGATACGCTTATGTAGTGACATGGGTCTTAAAGAAACTCAATTATATGCAACTGAATTGAAGAAAGCAGAAAAAGCAAAGGAATTAAAAGAACGTCAAGGATCTGGTAGGCCCGGTACTACTGGTATATATATATATTTCTTACGTTTCTTCTATATATTTTCAAATAGTAGAAGCAATATACATCGTAAATATTATTTTCAAGGTTCGCGAAAAAGTAACAGCGATAACTCTTCTCGAGCTGGTTCTGGAATGAGCGTATTATCGGATCATAGAAGCAGTCCTATTCCAGGGAAAAAAGATAATCAAGGATCAAATAGCGGTGGAGTCATCAGATCTACTCGAATTTTTAAAGGAGACAATTCTGTAGAATTGAATTTTAATGGACAGACCAGTAAGTATTATTTTAATGAAAATTTTTTACAATTAAACTTATTACAATATTATTGTTAGATTACATATTAATGATGAATAAATGTATGCCCAAAAGGAAAAATTCGTCTAATATTACTGTTAATTAGCATAAGCCTTTTTTAGAGTAAAATTAGATTGGTTATCGATAGTTTAGTGCTGCATGGTTTTAAACGAGATGAATATCTACTATAGAGATTTATAGGCTGTGCATATGATTCCTTAATGGATTGAACAACATGATAAATGAGTTTTTAACTAGTTTGGATTCTATTCTTAACAGTCATAAGTTTCATATAACGTTAGATTAAGGCATAATAATGAATGTCGTAATTTTCCATAATTCAAAAAGTCAAGTGTAATATAAAATGTAATATATTTATCATATACGATAAATATAATAATGATAAGATTTTATTATAGGTATTACTTATACCGACCCTATTGGGCCTTTACCTACACGTCCGATGACAGCTGCTGGGAAAAGAGAGGACGATTTTGGAGAAGAAGAATTGGGACCTGATTTGTTACCTGAATAGTGCGTATAATTTATTTATTGCTCATAAAATATAATAGTAAAAGTATTTAATAAAATTTCTAGATAATTCGATATCACCCGATCGAAAATATAAGTATACGTGTTAATAATTACATATTTGTATTTCATATTGTATATGAATATTATGTCAGAAGTAATATTATTTTAGTTATTAAGTAATATAGATAATCGACGAACTACGTATATGTATGTTTATATGTGGGTGTTTGTGTATATGTATATATACACATTACAAAGGATCAAATTTGTAAATGAATTATACTTATTGATTATCATTTCAATATGAAAAATATGCATGTGAAAGATACATAGAAAATAATCCTTTCTACAAGTAATACGTCTTGCAGGAAGGGCCACTTACCTCGTGTACATTATAGATCTACGAGGGTCGGTACAATTGTAACGATCTAAATTTAAACACGCCAGCCGACGTTTTCATCAAACTCCATTCAGCCGACGTAGATTGAGAAACGGATATTAACATTATTATCTTCTATGCATGTGTACATCTATCTGCTATATAGAATGTCGGCATTTTAAATGTGTACATATAATCGACATCAAATTGTTTGCTTTCAAATAGAAATTCTAACAATAACAAATTGTGATCGGTATAAAATTAAAGTATAATCGATTTTATATTTTTAACAAATATTTTAATTTATATTATTCACATAGAAGTACGATATATCTTAGAGTCAAGACAGTGAGAAGTTTGTATTTAAAATATACATATACTATCAGTTATTGAAACAATTACAGTAAACAAAAATAAAAAATATTTCCAATATTTTCCATTCCATCGTTCCTACGATTCGTTTTATTTTTAATATGCCATTTATAAAATTAACAAATTACTTATGCATATTAAAAAAAAAAAAGAAAAAAGAAAAAAAAAAAAAAAAGACAATACTTCTTGGAACAAAGAGAAAAAAAGAAATATTTAACTATAAATATCTGAAATATATTTTAAATTTCCCGCCACATAAGTATCCATCTTGGATCGTACGTGATACGTAATTGTACGACACGTGCACGCACATATATACAGCGTGCGAACATAACTAAGTTCTATTTCTCGCGCATCGTGTAACTACACGCGAAATACCGGATATGCACGAGCCAAGTAGCGGTAAACTTCATGGGTTGTTCAGCGAGCGCTATGATTGGTTAGTGATAATAAAGGAGTAGGGGAAAGCGATTGTCAGTTCTGTAGCGCATATACATTTTGTAGCATTGCACTTGTGTGAGCATACGTACGCACGCGGTTGTCGAAGAATTCCGTTCATACGTTTAAACAATCATAATTTTGTAGTAAACAGATCGTGCATACATTGCATTGTAAGTTTCACAAGGAGACTCGCTTATAGTGTGCGTGTTGTGTGTGCATATGTATCAGAGAGAAAGAGAGAGAGAGAGAGAGAAAAAAGAGAAAGAGAGAAAGAGAAAGAGAAAGAAAAGAGAAAAAGAGAAAAAAATAGAATCAACATCGAACTTTTAAAGGGTGAGACTCGATTAAATCGTTTCTTTCGATATTTCGATGTTTTTCAAATCAATGAATGATACATCTTAAATTGTAGCGCGAAAATTCTTCGATTGTCATGATTATTCTTTTTTATGTATGACTTTGCGTAACAAAGTTAAATATATTTCTATATTTGGTCATTTTAATTAACTCTAGAAAATTAAATGTAGAGAAAATTGATAAAGTTATTATATATTATTTATTATTCGACGGACATATAAATTTTTTTAATTTAATGATGTTAAGGTTAATTATTAAGGAAATTAAATATAAAAATTTAATTAAATGCTTTGACACTAAAATTAAAAAGAAAATTCTAAAAGAGAAATTATTCATTTTGCCGGCTCATTTATGAGTCAATACATGTTAATTATAATGTTGAGATACTTGTAAAGTTTTAAATAGAATTTAAAAATTCCCGCGCAGCAGTATTAGAAACATTTTTTTCTTAAGACTATTATGAATTAATTGATTATGTTTGCACGAAAATAAAGAAAGATATATATTATCTTCCGTACTGTCACTTTTGTTTCATTTAAAAATGAAGATAAAAGTAGAGAACTATTTGTTTTATCCTATGTTACGCTTCAAATTGTACTTGGCATCGTCGATTTATATTATTAATTGGGAATCATAGAGTATCAAGATAATATATCTTCGTTGAAGGAACGTTGAACTGTGACTTTTAAATCTACAAAAATGAATGATTTTATTGTCTTATAACCACAACAAGATTTAATATGATATTGATTATCACATGAGAGTGTTTTCAACTTCAAAATGACAGCAGATAATTAAAGATTAATCTAAAATATGAAGAACTCATTCATTAATCGTGTTACGTTGTGTGTATACGATTATACGTTATTATAATAATTATTGATAAAGGTACCAAGAAATCCGTAAAAGAATTTCTATCGGAAATTAAAATCGATGTTATTTCTGTTCTTTATAAATAACACAGTTTAGATGTGCTTACTTTATGAAGGGAAATCCACGTATGGCCTTGAAAAGTTTTTTTAGCGTACATGATCGTGGCACACTTGATATTACAAAATATTAAATAATTCAAAGAGTCGTTTTTCAAGTGATTTTACGATGATTAAAATTGTCAAATTATCATATACATATCTATCAGATTGGCTATGTTACTTTCGTTCATTTATCTTTTCTATTCTAATAATGTTAAGTATTTTCCCGCCAAATTTATCGTTACTTTTTTTCTAAGAAGAAACAAAAACTGTAACCTTCGAGCTTACTTTGTCTGCAATCATCGAGAAAGAAAATAAACAAGAAACTATAAATCTAAAATCACTTCGGTTTTTTTCGGTTTATCACTCTGACATGTACTATTTAGTAAACGCCACATAGTATGTAATAGTAATTTCTTTGCACTTAGTTAAAAATATTTATGAACCCGGAAGAATCTTTTGTTTAGAATTAGATTAGAGATATAAATCAAAGATAACGTATATATTTGTTGATTGTGGAATTTGATTTATTAATTAATGTAGTAAAATAATTAAATACGATGTAAATCATTGCTTAGCATGTTGAAGATTGATGTACTTATATATTATGTATTTTAAGGATTGAGAAAATATAGTTATCTTATCATGGATAAATCGATTTTGTACATGAAAGAAGATGATTAAAATCTTTACTAATTTAATTTTATCGTGTTATTGAATTCTTTATCGTTCGATTTCATGATACTAAATTAGTTTTGTTTTATTTATAATCGTCATAGTTGAGTAGGAAAAAATAAAGGAAAATAGAAATAAAAATAGGAAAGGGGAATAGAAAAATAGAAATAGAATGGAATGTAGTAAGTAGATATTCGGGTGGAAAGAATTCTTTAGCGAATGATTTCGATCGCGTTCGCAATGTTCACATTGCTTTTTAGTTCTCTTTTTTTCCTTATATAATTAATCTCAAAAATCTTAATAATTTCCGTATAAATTAGTCATGATAATAGATACAATACAATACGATCATTCCCTTTAATAATTCGTTCGTATCAGATTTATGAAGGACCTTGATAAGTAATAGTCTCGTAATACTCGGAAGCTTCGTTAGTTACGATGGATAAATCAGGCTATTATACGTTTCAAAAAAGTACAATAAACGTATATCTCGAGTTAATAACTGTGAAGAATGTTCGAACGTTTTTTTTTTATTTTTATTGTTCAAAGTTAAAAATCAATGAAATTTTTTAACATCAATGTCTCGATAATGTTATCGATTAATTTTACTTTTTAAATAAATTTGTTCGAATAGATTTATGGACAGTTCTTTCGTTCAAAGTAAACTTTAATAACGTCACGTGCTAATTACTGAATTAATTATTATTCCCAATGACGATTAATTATTATTCCCATTTAATTCGATGGATCAATCGATATTTGAAAATACTTCATACTAATTCTATTTACAAAAGAAAAAAAAAAGAAATTTGGTAGATAAGAAAAAACACAAGAAAAGAATGATACCATTGTTTTATCCATGTCTTATTGTTAGGCGAATTGTCTTGTAGATAGGATCGAAAAAAATATAATTGTCGCTAGTCGTAATAACGCTTCATGTTGTAATTTACGATCTATCGGATCGGATGTCTTCCTCGTCGACATGATGGCACAACATCTTAGTGATATATCTTCTATGTGGTTACGTCACACTCTTTAATCTGACGTTTGCGTGCGAAGCGTGACAAAAGAGCGGTGATCGGATATGATCGTGAATTTGTGATCGAAGAACGAGTTTGAAATTCAAGTGAATATAAAGAATGGGAAAAATATAATCGGCGGCTCTGAGCCATTGAAGTTCAATAACACGTGGGAGACCTGCGATAGCAGAACGATCACGCGACTACGTATGAATTGCAGCCGCGTTAGAACTCGATAAATTTTGATTGAATTCGTATGAGTTTAAAGAAACATTTAAAACAGTATTCGCGCTTCGCCTAATCTAATTCTTAGGTAAGGCCATCTTTATTGTATGTCTTGAGTACACGTTGGGCTTACATTAGGAAACAAATACTGACAATAACGACGAGTACGCGCATTGTACTCAAGATTACGATCATCACGCCAGGTCAACTGGCTGAATTATGTCGGTTAACGCTTTGCACCTTCCAATTGATTTTAATGAAGGCTCGTTAGTTGCTGTGTGCCTTTCAAGAACGTCCTGCTGACTTTTCGTGGTTTCTACCGATCCGATTGCGTCTCGAAAGTTCTCATTGTCTTACTCGTTTTGCATTTTAAAATTATTTCGATGCATGCGTGCTTTTATGTATATATATATATATATGTATATATATATACAACTAGTATCTACTTATGTGTTGTACAATGAATGAAATGAATCAGCTGTCAAAACAGGGAAATAATAAAAAGAATGAAGGGACACATTGCGAAACCGACAAATAAGTTTATTAGTTGAATCGCGTCGTTTGTCGTTCGAGATCATTGTTATTAATTAATATAACGAATATATGCTCATATGCTGACAAATATGTTACGTTCGAAAGTATGTAGCAAGATTTATTTTCTTTCACGAATAATAATTTTTACATCTATAACAATATCACGCGTAAAAGATACGCGCATAAACTTATCATTAAAAAATGAACATCCCATTAATTATCAGTTATTCGAAGAAAATCTATCGTTAACATAATAAGTCGATTTGTTTGTCGTTGTTGATAAAATGCTTCATGAACTTTCAGTTCGGTCAGACAAGTTAGAACAGTTGAAGTTTTCGCAAGCGAGAGCTCTAACGTCAGTCACAATTTTGCATTTGTCGCGTATGCGACAAGCACATGTAAATTACCGACGGTATCAACGTAGGCAAGTGTGAGCATGTTTATAGATAAACCTACATTCATATATTCGTAAGTTGTACATGTAATACTATTTATGCATATTCTTCAATGGAGTAAACAATATTATGCAAAATTTCATTAATCTTCACGACAATTTCGTTCATATTTATGATATATATGAAAAGAGAGATCTCGTAAAGTATGAAGAACGTGTATATATTATACATTATCGTTTCGATCAAAGAGTATTTCTTCTGTCTATCGTGATATATTAAAAAACATACATATTTTCTCATTAGAGACAATTTATATTATTAAAATATACTATTAAAAGCCTCGTATAGTATTTTTTTCTTTTTTTCTTCTTGGTATTTTAAATATTCACCTGATAGTCATTTTAAATAGTCACGTCAACAATAATTCATCCAATATTTTTTATTCGTCTTTAGGAATATTTTAAGACTGGCATTTTTTTTATAGAGGTCACGATATGTTTTCTACTAGAATATCATCGTTTTAACTATAATTACGAATAGAATTATAGATTTAACGAGTATATTTGATAAAACCATACCAAATAGCTTTTCTAATTATTATAATAAGTTTTTATTGTGCTTTGTTGGTACACTTTTAAAAAATTCTTTTTTATTATTTTATTGACAAGGTCTCAAATCGTCCCAAACATTCTCTTTCTCTCTCTCTCTCTCTCTCTCTCTCTCTTTCTCTCTCTCTCTCTCTCTTTCTCTTTCTCTTTCTCTCTCTCTCTTTCTCTCTCTCTCTCTCTCTCTCTCTCTCTCTCTCTCTTTCTCTCCAGAACGATCAACGTTTAAGGTGAATTTTTAAGATCTTCGCTCGTTCCCGTCGCTAGTCAGTTGTAGCTTATTTACTTTCAAAAGACATAGTGATCTATCTCTTCAAAAAACAACTCTGAACATTCCAGACCGAGAAAACTAAAGAGATATCAAAATTTACGAGGTCATTATGTCATGTTATCGGAACGTATAAAATTCCCTGGACTTTCGACTTTTTGCCAATTATTTTATCATATATTCTTATAACGAACATGCACATGTGTTAAGAAAAAATCCTTTATCAGTATCAATTGATAGACAGTACAACTACAATAATTCATCCTCCATATATTCTACATATATATCATATTCTTCGGAAAGAATCGATCAGTCACATAGTGAATCTTGAATCGTGAACGTTGAAATTGATTCATCTAACACACTTACGTACATTACTATTACAGATAATCTCAGTTGTTAAAAGAAATGGTTGTACCGGCGGAACACGCGCTCCATGAAGCCATTCAGGTTTCGCCACTTGAATTATCAAACGATGTTAGAAGACAGAAAGTAAGTAGATTCGATGTAACATATTTATTTACATTAAACTAATCTTGATAATCTTGAATCGTAATCTTTTTTACATGGAAAAACGATGATATTAATGAAAAGTTATAATGATAAATGGGTTTCAACAAATCTTTATTATTATTATTATTATTATTATTATTATTATTATTATTATTATTATTATTATTATTGTTGTTGTTGTTATTGTTGTTGTTATTATTGTTATTATTGCGTGAAGTTTAGTTATGTATCGTGAAATAAGTATCATGTCAAGTAGATTCAAAATGAAGTTGGCATACGACGTTCATCGAAAAATTAAACGATCGAAGTTCTTAACCTTCTGACCTTCTTGTTAAGAGTTTGCTGACTCGAACCGATCGTACGCGTATACTTTCTCTTTTAGATGATAGCAAACGATATTAATTCGACGTCAATTGGGGTATAAATTACTTTATTTTCAATTCTTTGGATAGGTCTATAAATGATCATAATGTCGAGCTTTTAAAAATCGGGGATAATAAAGTGGTAAATACCTTTTCTCTTAATTGGATACGCACAAAGTAAAAAATTATACTCCTTACATAAAATATTTAATCAGTTTATTTAATTAAGCAATACCATTTTTATATAAGCGCTAACAAAAAATACAAGTTCAAACAGTTTATCTTATATAATTTGGATTGCGATATTTATCATTCTTTAGTAATGATTATGGTGCTCTTTTATTTGATGACGTTATGAAAGGCAAGCTTAAAGCGGTTTAAATTGGATTTTAAATCATTATTGTTGTTTGTAGGAGTAAGGACTTTCTTATCTTACTCTCGGCAAGTCATAGGGTTATCATAATAAAATACTCAACTTCTTAGTTTTTTTAATATTCGTACAATTCATATTGAAAAAGATAACAGGAATTGCGCTTGACACCTAATATAAAATAAAGTAAAGAAAAACAAAAATTTAACATACGGGGAATTATGAATTATCTTTATCAACGATGTTTGAGTAATTTTTGTTATTATTTTTATTTTTTTTTGTTTTTTAATCGTTATCTTAATCCTCCCTAATTATGTGGATATTATCAGAGAACAATGAAAAATTACGATCGATGTATTATTTACTGGTAAACAATAAACGTTAAGTCGATATTTCTTTCTTTTTTTTCGGATAAAAATTTTATTTTTTAATTCTTTCATATCAAAACGTTGATGCGGTATAACTCGTTTACCTTCGCGCAAGTGAAACAGTAATATCATGGAATCGTATAACAACTGTTTTCTATCTTATGCGGTTTATGCACCTTTACGATACATAAATAGAAAATAAAACGATAGTTATCGAGGATAATCTCAATGTTATTGTGACTTTTTATATTATAATATTACTGATCTAGTTTCTTTAACTATAGACTAGACTAAACGAACATTTTACACGAGCTTACGGTTACCTCCGGTTGACCCATTAGAATCCCATTAGATAGTATGTAACTCGTAACAACGTAAACAAAAGCATCTTCAACAGGAATGCGAACGCATCGTACCGTTACCATGATGTAGAGTAGATTTGCAAATGTCTCGGAAAATTTATAGAACGCGGAAAATTTTCTGGGAGAGTCCTTCACAAAACGATTCTTTACATTGATTTTAACGAAAAGTGGATAACAGTGAGACTTAATAAGCTCATGCGAGAAAAAGAAAGAAAGAAAGAGAGAGAAAGAGAGAGAGAGAGAGAGAGAGAGAGAGAGAGAGAGAGAGAATACCATTGCTAGAAATCTATCAATTTCCAAATGCTTTATTTTCGATTGGTATCTCTCTTGCTTGTTCGAACTTCAAAGAAATATTTCTTTCTAGATCGAAAACCGGTTAGCACGGATGCGTTTATCTGCAACGACTGTTAGAAAAATTCAGGATGTATTCGTCTCGGAGATGAACAAAGGTATCCATCAAGAACCGTCATCTTTACAAATGGAGAACACATATGTACCAGAACTCGTAGATGGAACAGGTACTTGTTAAAGTATCTTCTTTTCTATTTTACTAGTCTAACTGATTTGCATTTTATTTGTTACGTCGTAAGATTGATAAATTGATATATGTAATATTATTTTCAGAGGAAGGACGTTTTTTAGCATTAGATCTTGGCGGGACTAATTTTCGAATTCTCTTATTGGAATTGAAGAATGGTAGAATTGTGAGGGAGGATGTGAAGAATTATCACATCGGATCTGAATTAAGGATTGGCACGGGTTTTCCTTTGTTCGATTATTTAGCTGAGTGCGTTAGTGATTTTGTAATTAACCAAAGTCTTCAGGATGTTGAAATTCCTTTAGGTAAATTGAAATCAGTTGTTGATCAATTGTCGGTTGTTGATTTCGTAAAAGATTTCCATTGATATGGCTATATTAATGGTTGTAGTTAAAGTTTTTTTATTTTTATATACAGCATGTAATTTGTAATAATTTATTCGCATAATAATGAATATTAATAGCGCATTTCGTATTCTAATTTATCTCATTAAATATTCGTTTTTGATTTAGGATTTACATTTTCGTTTCCAATGGTTCAACATTCACTCGATGTTGGAATTTTGGTGACATGGACAAAGAGTTTCAATTGCCCAGACGTTGTCAATAAGGACGCAGTTCAGTTACTCCGAGATGCTCTTGCTCGTCGAGGTGATACTAAAGTAAAAGTCATAGCAGTGTTGAATGATACAACAGGAACTCTCATACAAGGAGCCACATTGGATCCCGATACAGCTATTGGGCTTATTTTGGGTACTGGTAGCAATGCTTGTTATCTTGAACGAGCTGACAGGGTCGAACATTGGGAACCAGAGAGACATGGGGAAAGAGAGGCTAGTATTTGCTAGTAAACATATGTTACATTTAACATAAACTTTTTTCTAATGATAGAATTGTTTTACTTATATCAAATTATTTGTTTGACTTAGTTCTTAGAAAGTTGTCTTTATAACAGAATTGATTAACCGATTTGATTTCCGTTTTTCAGGTTGTAATAGATATCGAATGGGGTGCCTTTGGGGACAATGGTGTTTTAGACTTTATTAAAACGGAATTCGATCGCGAAAATGACGCAAATTCGCTTCTCGTAAATTCATTTACGTAAGACTAATTTTCTTATACAATCATTTGATATCTAATAATATATAAATATGTTAAGTGTTTATGTAAGGCTAAAAGAAGATTTTAAATGTCCTAGATTCGAAAAATACATCAGTGGAAAGTATCTGGGTGAAATAGTGCGTCTTGTACTCGTCAAATTAACGAAAGAAGGGCTTTTATTCCTAGATAAAGATCCAGGGCATTCTTTTTTCATACCAGGAACAGTTACCTCAGATTTAGTATCTTTTATTGAGCAGTGAGTATTGAAAACAATATTTTCGTTGTAATATAATTGAACAATTCTAATTATTTGAATTATTTGATGTGTAGAGACACCGTAGACGGCAGTACCCATAATACAAAGGAGGTTCTAGCAAAATATGATATCGTTCCAACCGACGATGACATAAACATTGTACAATATGTGTGCGAAGTTGTTTCGAATCGTGCGGCTCTTCTCGTTTCTATATGTAAGCTGATAAATCTAATATTTGTTAATAAAGATCAAAGAAAAACTTTTTAAATGTTGGGCTCTTCTGTAGGTCTCGCGGCATTGTTGGAACGAATCGATAAGAAGAATGTGACGATCGCGGTCGATGGTTCTTTGTATAAACATCATCCTCGATTCGAAACCTGGATGAAGCAATATATAACTTTGCTTGCCCCTGGTCGTAAGGTGTGTGACTGATCGATTCTTTGAATCTTTTCATTTATTTTACATTTTCCTTTCGTTTACTTTCAAACCTTTTTTTTTTTCTTAGTTCAAATTGATTCACGTCGAGGATGGAAGTGGAAAGGGTGCAGCGCTTATCGCTGCGATTGCGCAGAGGATTCAAAAAAGATTAACATAATTATTATTGACCGAGAAGTGATTTCACATATGTAATAATCTATCAGTAGTACAAGCATTCCATGGCAGGATAATTTCCTGGTTGTGTTATAAAAAAGGGTAATAGTCAAAATGATATAATGTTAATTATATTTTCACCAAAGTTATTGCATTTGTCATTGTCAATCTCGTTGAATCATTTTTAGGATTTTCGTTAAAAACCATTGTTTTTGCGTAAATCTTTGGAAAGTATAGTCGGCAATTTCAACTCAAATGAAATTATAAATATATATATATATATATTACTTATATTATATATATACATATATATATATATATATATATATATATATATATATAATACACACACATACACACACACACAGGAGTTTTAGTCTCTTTTGTAAATACTATTTTCCATAATTAAGAGTTTAAGAGAATTCCTTTTTTCGCAAAGAAAAGTCTTATTCTACTATAATAAGATAATAGAAATCGATCAAACGTTTGTAAATTAAATATAGATCGTTGTAGCACATAATTCCGTGCTAAATATATAAGTAGGAAAGAAAATAAATAACATAATAATTACTCAATTGAATAAATCTAGGAATACATTGAATTCATTTGCACTTAAAAGTTTCATCGAAATTTATGTTATGGTAGGATCACAAATACATAGAAATTCTGACACTCGAAACGGATAGAGAAAAGAATATAAAAAGGTAAACGAAAATCCGTTGTTAAATCTTTTGAAAAAAAATGAAGAAAAGGAAAGTAGGCGAATGTTTATAAATCAATTGTTATGAGTATCCTGTGGTTGTATACACCTTGTAATTGTATACGATTGTTAAAATAAAAATTGAAAAAAGAAATAAATAAATAAGATATCTTTTCTCCGCGGAATTGATAAAAATGTCTTAAATGTAAAGATGGCGAGGCGGGAAATTTGAAATTGAATTGATCGGGAGGATGTAGGGTGAAGAGAATGGTCGAATAACGAAAGGCGGTTCTCGTTCGCAAGCCGTCGATAGGCCTATCGATCCTGTTGCTAGGCGGTAGAATGGGAGGGCGTTCGAGTGTCGTGGTTAGATTCCCGTGTTTCCCGCCAGATGTCGTTGCGGTAACGCGCGGCTCGCTCGCGGAGTGACAGCTCGGCGAGAACTGTCAGCCGGAGCGCGTTTACGCGGCCGTTTCTGTTGGAAATAAGGATACGATCGGTCTTCGAATCGGCAAGGTGTAAGCGCGAAAACGGGCTGGCAAAAAGGATCGTATCGCGGAGACGTAATTTCGATTTGTATCGACTTTGAAAATCGGGAGGTCTCGTACCTAACGGTGGGCGTGCACGCAGGAGGGAACGGCTCGCCGGCTCGGTCAGTCTACTGGAAGATTCCATTGTGTGAGAGTGGGCTTTGAAAAAGTTTCGGCTGGAAGGAGCTACGTTGCTTTCGCGCCTTTCGCAGCCTTCTCTTTGCTGGATCGATCAAGAAGAAAAAAAAGTCGAGGTATCATTGTCTTCTTCATTTTTTCCTTAAGTTTTTGTGTTCTTGTTAGGACGAGTCACAAGAGCGGTGTTGAGGATGAGGAGCGCGCGCGGGAGAGAGAGAGAGATAGATAGATAGATAGATAGATAGATAGAGAGAGAGAAAAAGAGTGAAAAAGTGAGAGAGAGCGAATGAACGAGCTAGTAAGCGAGAGCGAGATAGAGAGATGTATAGAGAGTTGGAACGAGAGGTTACCAAGGATAAGAAGGCAATAGTATTTGTAGTAGTAGTGTAGCAGAAGTAACGTGTTAGTGCTGGTGCTGCTAATACCAGTGACGATAGAACGACGATGATGCTGTAGTAGTGGTGAGAATCGTGATAGTGTGTGTTGGTGCTGATGCTGGTGGTGGTGGCGGTGTGGTGCGAAGCGGGTTTGAGGTTACGCCGGCGATCCTCGCGTTCAGCTGGGCTCTCAGCTGACGGCCGGCCTTTCCAAGACCGGCATTGCGTGCCTTTCTTGTCCCTCCGTTTCCTGGACAGGTTCTATCTTTCGAACCTTCTCCCGTATGATAGAGCCGAAAAACTATATATCTATTTCTCTCGCGAGCTACAGACTCTCTTTCCTTTTATTCATTCGAGATTTACATTTACGTTCTTATTTTAGTTCCAATAAAAAAAAAAGAAGAAGAAGGAAATAAAAGTAGGTTAAAAGAGAATAGAGAAATGAACGTGAGGGATAAAAAAAGTGGACGATCGAGTAGCGAGATGCGTCTCGAGTAAGCTTCTCGAATGTCTTCGAAGAATCCGAGTAAAGATATGTATGTGTATGTGTGTATATATATATATATATATTTGAATTTATATATATATAGATTTATATATATATATATATATATATATATATATATATATATATATAAAAAGAAATAAAGGAAGAAGCAAAGAAAAACAAAAAGAAATAAAAGATAGATAAAGAAAGGGATTAGAGGTTCTAAAGCGGCCAACTCGAACGATATAAAAGGCGGAGAACGCTTCACCGTTATCGCTTTGCAAATTGACTCGGTTTCCCGCGAAGCATCGTCGAGGTCACCGCGCCCGGCTGCAGCTGAGCACTCAGCTGACGAGCGGAGGCTGCGACCGGTTCGCCATATTCCTTCTTTTTTTTAAAGGCCACCCCCTCTTCGTTGCTTTTAAATCGCCTTTCACGTGGTCCGCGAGCTTCCACCTACGTCTTTTTCCCATCTTCTTTATCCTCGGTCCTTTCCTCATACTATGTTTCTTTCTAGAAAATCGCATTGTTCATTGTTGTTATCGTCGTTGTCGTCGTCATCGCATCGTCATCGTCGTTGTCGTCGCGTCGTCGTCATCGTTGTCGTCGTGCGAGGCCGAGAATTGCCGACTCCTGAGCGAATCCAGTTCCGAAGAGTTTCTTTGTCGGCCCTACGACATAAGCCGATACAAAGGCGTAAACTCGATTTTTCTTTCGACTTGATGACGAAGCCAGGCGAATATGTAATAGAGATAAAAGAAAAAAAAAAGAACAAACAAACAAACGATAGATGTGTATCGATAAGTCGTCTCCTTTTTTAATTCGTTAATGCTATGTTCAAGGATTTTTTTTAACGATTATCAATTTGCAATTATTATTATCTCTCGGTTTTTTACTTAAGATCTAATATACTTATTGTCAGCTTCTAACAGTCAATGAGTAACGAAAGTGAAAGTATCTTGTTTCGAGGCTTCCGATTGTTTTATTTGAAACTATTGCAAACATATATAAATTACAATATAAATTACAATACGTATATAAATATGTATAATAGAGAACAATTGTTTTAGATGGTACGATCTTGACGTTTGATCTAATATCGATGAGATCGTAAAAGGAAGATGTTATTTAAATTACGTAACGCGTCATCCCACTTTCCAGTCGTTCTACGGGCACGATCTTCCGCTTGAGCGATCGTAGCGATCGACAAAGCGTAATAATCGGCTAGAATGTATGCAATTAGCGAGAACTGCGCGTGTAATCCTTCTAAAACACAAAGGCTGCCCCACCGTTCGATTCGGACGAGCAACCGCGAAACGAAAACCGCCGATAACCGTGCTCGTCCTCGTCGATCCTATATAATAATTAATTAGTAGATTACACTTGTGATTTAGAATTTATTATCGAATCGCCATTGATATAGATCGAATAAATTATTCGTAGAAATGATCTAACTTCTTTGTTTTAAAGAAAATTATAAAAATGCGTAGGCAACCAACGGTGGAATTGCGGTATCCTGAAAAAAATTAACTCCGTCGAGTAAGAAGGAGATAATAGTACTTTAGATATTTACGGAATTTTTTTAAACGTAACCCTCTATAAACACCCGTACTAATGTTACAAAAATTTAACGAATTGCATTCCTAAGAATAATGATAAAAATTTATTATAACTATCATCTATTCCCTTATTAACTACAAAATTATATAATATACTTTTACTTTTTTACTATATAATATATAGTTATAATATTTTAATCGTTAATAATATCTACATAGAAAGAGAGAATAAGAGAGAGAGGGGGGGGAGAGAGGGAGAGAGAGAGAGGGAGTGAGAGAGAGGGAGAGGGAGACAGAGAAAGAGAGAGGAAAAAGTTTGGAATGACTGAATCGACTTCTCGAGATATGTATCTTTAAAAATAATAAAACAATTTCCTAATCGTTTATGATCGAGAAAAAGTCATAAAAACGGAAATGAAAAGTAATTTTCTTCATGGAATCGAATTAGTAGAATCGATCGAATCGTACTAAGAAGAATCTAATCACTTTACTCGTCCAATTGCTTCGAATCTACGATTCGTCTAAGCTAAATTCGATCATTTGCGTAGTATCCCTCGTGTAGTAATAAAACGTATCGAGAGATAAATTGGAGCAGGCTGACAAGCAGGACTAAGAATAATCGGAGAGGGCAAGGGAGGTCAAAAGCTATACTCGCTCTCGTTTTCACGCGAAGACGGCACCTGGGCTTTGCTTGAGTCTTTAAAGCGACAGAGAAACGTTAAGAACGAGATGCGTATCCGTTCTCAAGTGTTAGGAACTCGGTAGAAAACATGCGTTTGGAACGGCGCCAATCAGTTGTTCATCGAGGTTGACTTTGGTCGAGCGTAGTAGACAGCGAGGCGCATTTTCGTCAACGTCATTCTGCGATATCTCTCATCTTATCGAATCGATCGAATAATCAATTTTTTCTTTTTTTTTTTTTTTTTTTTTTCAATTTGTAAAAGAAATACCGAAAGAACATAACAAAGAACTTGGATATAAGTTTGAAATTGAAAGATTTTTTACTTCTTTTCCTTCTTGTTTTTCTTCTCTCTCTCTCTCTCTCTCTCTCTCTCTCTCTCTTTCTCTCTCTTTCTCTCTGTCTCTCTCTCTCTCTCTCTCTCTCTCTCTCTCTCTCTCTCTCTCTCTCTCTCTCTTTCTCTTTGCCTCTGTCTCTTTCTCTCTCTCTCTCTCTCTCTCTCTCTCTCTCTCTCTCTCTCTCTCTCTCTCTCTCTCTTTGCCTCTGCCTCTTTCTCTCTCTCTCTCTCTCTCTCTTGCGAATTCGAAACTATTTAATGATTTATTTGTTTGTATGTAAGTATTAAAGTATTACTTTTTAGATTTATTTCAATCTGTAATTAATTTACAGAGTCTTGGGAAGAATCCTTTTTTCATATCGTATAGAATGTTTAATTTCTAATGAAACAACGAATCTAGAAATTGTGCGTTAAAAATTATAGCTCATAAATCCATCTTGTTACATGTTTAAAGGGTACTTTACGAGTATAGAAAAGCGTAAATATTCTTTTCGAACATTTTCAAGTTTATAGTTTCGGAAAGTAGGAACAATATTCGCACATTGTTACACATATACACACACATCAAGCATCAGGATCGATCGATCGATTTCTCGAACACGAGATCAGCCTTTATTCTTCGTGCTCGCGTTACATGATTTTACACACAATGAGCGTGAGCCATCGTAGGTGGATACGGGTAATGTGAACGGTACAAGCCATTTAGAGGAGAATTTCTTTTTATCGAGCCGTGGGATCGAGGAGAGTTTATTACCTGGAGGATTCACGTATGCCCGTTAGAAAAAGTTGAGAGACTTAGGCTAAGAGAAAAGGGTTTTGTCTCACGAGGAGTCTCCGTTGCTTTTCTATGGCGAATCCCCGTTTTTTTGCTGACGTTTCGTAGAAAGGAGCGGCTATAATATCTATCTATCTATCTATCTATCTATCTATCTATCTATCTATG